TGACAATAGGTCATTAATATTGCTACAAAATTACCAAGACAACCAAACACAGCCAATAACAGCACTGAATTTCAGCTCATTTTGGAAGGACATGCTGCATAAAATCGCTTCAAAAAAGTCTTTCAGTTTGATTAAGAAGAAGAGGCAGACTCACCGTAGAACTGCAACTGCTCTGACGGGCAGTAAGTGTCCGACGAGGCGAGAAAGCCCCCCGCTGAGAAGTTCATGTCCAAGTCCGTCCACTCTCTCATCGGAACCCAAGCGGATCTGCCCTGACTGACTGCAACTATTCTAACGCACTCAAAATCGGAAAGCGTGACACAACTCACGCAGTCATCGCTGACTGACTGCAACTATTCGAAAATCGGAAAGCGTGACACAACTCACGCAGTCATCCCCACACGCATGTCAAGTTTCATGAAGTATCTGGGAAGTTGGGGAGTCATGGAGTGGAGGGAAACATTCCACATTCCCCCAGGAGCAGGTCTCTTAGCGGTCCTTTTTTAAAGTGGAGGGGAAGAGTCCAGCTGAGGCTTGTTGGATTCTGTGATAAATGATGTGTTGGAGGAGGTCCGAATTGGGCCCCCCCCCAAGAGGTTAAGACCAGAAAGGGGGAGAGGGGACACCCAGGAAGGACTTGGGATGTGACCGTGATCCAAACAGCTGGGACTGACTGGGACTTTGTAGAGCAGAACATGTCCACATTTGAGGGAAACGGGGTGAACTTTCACCTTGCTGGCAACACCATGAAGGATGTGTAACACTCGTGTGTGTTTGTGCCTGTGTGTGGGTGTGTTTCCGCATCTTTGGATACTGTACATAATACGCGTGGATGTGTGCGTGCATCGCGCTTTGTTTTTACCATACCTGCAAAAAAAAAGTCCACAATGATTTTTTTCCGATTTTGATCAGTGATACCTTAATATTAATACAGTACATGCTCCCCCTTGACAGAAAATCATTTGAAAAAAAATCATGATTAGGTTTCACACTTTGTGGGCGAGGTTGTGTGGATCATCAATATTTCATCTTGTACTGTATATCGATGTTAAAGTGCATGATTTCATAATATATATTTGTATAAATTGTTTTTTAGGCTTCAACAAGCAATCCTCACTTCACGCGCGTGTATGCTTGAAAAATCGATGCGCATTCAATAAATTAGTAAGAAATGTAAAATGATTTCTAACATTTATCATGCGTGTTGCTCTTTTCTCTTCGTGTCATATCTAACCCCCTGATAGATATACTGTGCCTTCCACTGACATGTTTTAGAGGCTTTGGGGCGTTGGGGCAGGGTCATTTTATTCATTTGCTTAGAATCTGACATTAATATATTAATAAATTAAATGATCTGTCTTCATTTTATGTTAACAGGTCACAACTTTTGAGTAAACTGCATTTTGAAGGCAGATCCTGCAACATCCGTGTGTGTGTGTATATGTGAGTGTGTGTGTGTGTGTGTGTGTGTGTGTGTGTGTGTGTGTGTGTGTGTGTGTGTGTGTGTATGTGAGTGTACATGTGCGTGCTCTTTCTCCACAGGTTAAATTGCATATATGCAAAAATGTAACAATAAATGTTTCTACATAACCGTGTGTGTTTCTGTGTGTGTGCGTGCGCGTGTGTGCGTGTGCGTGCGTGTGCGTGTGTGTGTGTGTGTGTGTGTGTGTGTGTGTGTGTGTGTGTGTGTGTGTGTGTGTGTGTGTGTGTGTGTGTATATATATATAAAATATGCACTTGAGCGGATGGCTTTTGGGAAGCTCTTACAAATAAGCACTGCTAATTAATTATTAACTGCGAGTGTGTGTGTGTGTGTGTGTGTGCGTGTGTGCGTGTGTGTGTGTGTGTGTGTGTGTGTGTGTGTGAGACAAAACCTTGGGAGTGTGTTTACTTTGCCTTTTGTTTATCACTCATCTGTTTGTGCTGCAGTTAATGTTGGACAGAAGTTGGATTTTAAAAAGGCCCCCGTCACCCCACCCCCAGAAGCCCTGAGGGTGGGTGGAGGTCCATAGCGTTGTAGGCAGAAAGGCCCAGCAACCGCTGGAGCCCCGCCACCGACAAGAAGTCTGGCTTGTCAATCTCAGCGTGGCATGGAACATGCCCATTCAGGACATCATCTGTCCATTTGGATCTCCAACCAAAGTTTGCTCCACGTTGACGTCACTGAGCAAACAAAAAGTGACGCTGCACCATCGCGGACAACAAATAAATCACGGTGGACCTTTTGAGTCACGCGCAGTGCACGGCCAGTGCCACTTCAGCCCAGTGGTTTTAGTTCTTTGTAATATGGATTTGATCGTTAATACAGAGCAGTGATTGAACTGTGAGATTCGTTTTTCTCGTTATAGCTAAGGCAGAAAGTGTTATGTTGTGGTCAAACTATTTTTACAGCTTTGTCATTAAAGTTACAACTGAGTTTTTTTCTGTCTTGATATTAATTCCATTGTATTCGTTTTTATTTACAAAACGGCAACTAACAACAGAAATTCTCTCAGGGCACTTTACACAATGTGCAGGACTAAAACCATGCATACATTAACTGCATCTGCATGCATAAACTAGACCAATTGGTGGCCATTGATTCATTAAAAATGTTTTATCGGGCGAAAATATAAACACTATATTGTAATTTTGAGTTGTAATACCACAATTCACCATTAGATGGTAGATATCGCTTAGTTGTGCCTGCACTGAGTCTTATCACGCCCTCTACCACAACTTCAGTGGGCCGAGTCTTTTTTTTTTTTTTTTTGTGGATTTAAAATGACATGCAGGACAAATCTGAACATCCGTCCATCCATCCATTATATAATCTGCTTTTCCTCACGAGGGTCGCAGGTGTGCTGGAGCCTATCCCGGCTGTCTTAGGGCAGTAGGCGGAGGACACCCTGAACTGGTTGACAGCCAATCAATTGAAAATTGAAAGCCCGAATCCAGTGATTCTCCTATTTGGAACAGAGGCGCCCTCTACTGGAATATGAGAGAATCACTACCAAAGTACATTTCAGTTGTATTTAACTTGTAAATTCAAGACATTTGCATTTGATAGTGTCCCATTCATTTCGTCATAGAATCCCTCCTCCAGCAACCTCAGATATGTGAGGAAATAAGACAGCCATTAAAAGAAGGTCATGCTATTTCCGGTTGGAACGTGTCACTGTGGGCGTTGGAGAGAGACGTCAGACAATTTGGGCTCGAACCTGACAACAAGTGTTCGCTTGCCCATCACAGATGGAAAAGAACAGACAGAACAGCATTCATGGCACATATCAAACCGTTTGCATAGCAAATTGAAGCGAGGACACAACGCAAGGATCAGTCGCGACACACTCACAGCGTAAACCCCCAAGATAAATTCAACACTCCATACATCATGTTTGTTTTTATTTATTTTTATCATTGCCGGTTGGCCTTGAGTGTTTGGTGAGGAAACATCACGAGACCCGCGACCCACAATCAGCGAGTTAAGTCCATTTCAGAACACGTCAATGCGCTTATCAGGAGGAAGAATGTAAACAACTGGTGACTTTGCGTAAAGGGGAGTCAGTCGATCCACCAGATGGTACATGTGCGCAGCTGCTTCAGAATGGTAGCCCTGTTTCAAAATGTAAAGCGCCAAATTATTGCAATAGCTTTTATTCCCAATGCAATGGGAACATTATTCCTTTACAAGTGGAGGAAAGGGAATATTCGGCTGTTCAAAAGAAACAGTGTGCATTTTTCTTCACAAACTCAAACATTTACTCCACAAAAATAACAATTAGCACTTATTACCTGTTGTGTGAGCTAATATTTAGTTGTATAACCAACCACAGTTTCTGAGAACTGCTTCACATCTATTTTGCTTGGAAGTACACCAACTTCCAATTACAGGTCAGGATGTGAAGTGTATTTTGGAAAGAAAATGAAGATCGGTGCTGTTATTTCCCCCAAACTCCAGAGTTACATTTATTTTTCTTCACTTTCGGTAAAGGAATTGTCTCTTTGATATGGGACATAACAGGAATGGGCAACTTAACTGGGGGATAAATTGTAGCCCCTCAATTTATCATCAGTACGACTTGGGTTTCAAACGGTAGCTCCACATACTCCACACCAGATGTATGACAAAAACGTGACTATAAAAATGGATACAATACCTGCATATCCTCAGGAGGTTCGCGTGCTTGCTGTTGCCTATCCCAGCAGGCTTCAGGCAGTTGGTGAGGTACACCCTGTACTGGTTGCCTGCTAATGGCAGGGCAAACACAGACAAGCAAACATTCACACTCACACTCACACCTCAGGACAATTTCGGCTGTTCCATTAACCTGCCATGCATGTTTTTGGAATGTGGAGAAAACCCCACGCAGGCACCGAGAGAACATGCAAACTCCACAATGGACGGCCTGGGTGCGGAATCAAAACGATGACCTCTGCACTGTGAGGTGGATGTGCTAACCGGTCGTCCACCGTGCCGCCGATCACAAATATCAAATCACTTAAAATTTTATTTATAAGTACTCGGGTTTGTCCAGCATATCATTCCAAATCAAGCAAAAAATATTATACCTAATCACGTTGTAGTATGTATAGGGCAGTACATGTCTGCCATCTAGGAGTGATGGGTGATATTACAACTTAAAAATTTAGTCGGCCACTGCATATCCGCAATTCAGCAAGTCAAGATTTTATTTTGATTTATTTTTTAAGATTTTTAGTTTTTTTTTTTTTTTTCATTTTATATACATTTTTACATATTTGGGATTTTCCGGGAAGTTCCGGGACACGCCCCCCACCCCCATCCAAACACCCCTACCACTTCCACTTCAGTTTCTGAATATTAATCAAAGGTTTTGGGGGATTGTCAAAAATATATAGATAGATCTTTTTAGATTTTTCACGGTGTGGTCGCACGCGGACCGCAGCCTGCCGGTTGCCCATCCTTGGGGTTGAACGCGCATATCCGCGTATATAAAATAAAATCCATTATAATAATCAACACACATTTCTTTTTTTTCTGAACAGAACTGTAGCACTTGATTCCCGTGAACACAATCTGAATATTTCTCAATAACATTGGATTTCAGTTGTCTGTTTAGGTTACAAGTCCAACAGAAACAAATTTGGTACAAAATTTGGAAAAACGGTGGTGTGGAATCAGACTCAACGGTCACACAAAGCAAATTTCAACCTGTACCGGAGGAAGGAAACCAAAAAAAAAAAGGAAGAGCAAGTGATCGGGTGGCCCTGTGTATGAAAACACCACTGGCACGGCCAATTTGCCCCAATGCTGCATTAAAACACATGCGGTAGATCTACATTTATTTATTTTGTTTGGTATGAGGGGGTGGGGGGCTCACAAGATTTCTCTCCAGTTTGTATTGGCTGAAAACATCTCATTAAAAAATTCCCACAAGAGTTGTGTTTATAAATTGCCTCCGTTCATCCTTGGTGATGGATGGGCACTTCCCCTCACTCACAAAAAAACAGCCATCGCAATCTTTTCTGCCACTGTTTCAGAACCGTTCACACGCGCGCACACAGAGGCCTCATTTTTACATTGACCTTACACCCGAAGCGGGTGGGCCCTTGAGCTTTGTATGTGTGTGTGTGGTTGCTTGGTGGCAAAGTGCATGTTTGAAGAGGTCACCGTGAGGTAGCTAATGAAGGGAAAACAACACAGAACAAGGATAATCGTTCATAATATTCATATCAAAATAAAAGAAAATGAACAGCAAGCAGAACTAAATAGTTTCCATTTTAGTTTATTTTTTTTTTAACAGTACACTGACCCAATGACACTCCCCCCCCCGAAAAAAAAGTACAAAAAAATGTGTGCAAAAATTACGTGAGAATGTTGACTAAAACTATAAATTAAACATGCATAATTTTGTGTATAACAGTTTACGTGGCATGCAACATCACCGAAATAAAACTGGTCATGGTGTCTGTATGTAAAACTAAGTACAAAGTCAATAAAAACAAAGAAACTTGAAATTAAAATGCGCTTAAAATACACAAAAACAAAAAGCACCTTTTTTTTTTTTTTTTTTTTTACCGATTCCCTTACAATGTAAAATTTCTACATTTAAGAGCAGAAAAACAACCAATGAAGTCAATATTCAAGCTACAGTTGCACTGTAAACGAGACCAGAGATCTTCATGCAGCAGCGCTTTGGCAACTTGTTAGCGAAAAAAAACAACTCCCAAGAAAAGCTTCCACGCAAGAGTTCTTCGCCATTGCCTTTAAAACTGTACCAGAACAATGCATAATCCGTCTGCAATATTTAAAAGAGCATTTACCTGAAATGGGGAGTGAAATAAATACAACTATACAATTAAAACAAAATGAAATGTACTTTATCCTGATTTGGTGATTTTCCGTGAGGCGTTGAATGGCTGAGGAGTGGTTTGTGGAACGTTCTAGCTCCCCATCAGAGGCGTCGTCTCCGAGCTGCTGGAGTCCAGCCGGTCTGAAGCTTTACGGTAGCTAATGAACTGCACGGAGATCTGAAGCACATCGTTAAAGATGAAAAAGCCGAGAGAACGAGACTGAACACGAGGGCAACAATGCTGTTTTCAAGTATCTGTTTTAGCCATCCCCTAAAGCGTGGCTTAAAATCTCCCAGCGGTTTACAATGAAACGGTAGCTAATCAACTGCACAAAGATCTGAAGCACGCCGTTAAAGATGAAAAGCCGAGAGAACAAGACCGAACACAAAGGCAACAATGCTGTTTTCAAGTATCTGTTTTAGCCATCCCCTCAAGCGTGGCTAAAATGTTACAGTGGATTAAAATGAAGGGTCCTGCTATAAAAGTTTTCTTAATTACTTATTCTGCCATTGTCCCATCGATTAAGGGGATTAAAATATACTTTGCATGATTAAACAACAAATATACAGGTAAGGTGCTGTGGTTGTCCACTTTGGATTGCCGTTCTCACATCTGGTCACTGGGCAACAGCAAATTTTAAATCAGAGATGGCTTTATGTGTACCTTAATGTACTTGTGATGCTGATTTGAAAAAAAAAAGTCTTTACTTTTATTCTTGCACATCAGATTTTCGAGATACTTTCATTTTTTTTCTTTTTAAGTCTGACCTACAAAAGCTTGTGCAATACGGATTTTTATCATGTGTTGTAATTTATAGCTATGACGTTTGAGGGGGGAAAAAAAAAAACACCTGCTGCTGAACCTCACCCGAAATTCATAAATATCCATCCATCCATATTCCGATCTGCTTTATCCTCACAAGGTGAACCAGCTGTCTTCAGGCAGTAGGCGGGGGGACACCCTGAACCGGTTGCCAGCCAATCACAGGGCACACAGAGACAAATCCACGCTCACAATCACATCTACGGACAATTTAGAGAGTTCAATCTGCCTGCCATGTATGTTTTTGGAATGTGGGAGGAAACCGGAGTACCCGGAGAAAACCCACGCAGACCCAGGGAGAACATGCAAACCCCACACAGGAAGGCCGGAGCCGGGATCGAACCCGGTACCTCTGCACTGTGAGGTCGACGCGCTAACCACTGGACCATCGGGCCGCCTTCATAAATATTATGAAACATTATATTATTGTCATGTTATAATTATTATAATAATTGTTATTCAGAAAACATGACATGCAAGAGAGGTGATCGACAGGTTAGCACGTCAGCCTCGCAGTGCACAGATGCAGAATTCGATTCTGGCTCCAGCCTTCCTGTGTGCAGTTTGCATGTTCTTCTTGTGTCTGTGTGGGATTTCTGCGGGTACTCCAGTTTCCGCCCACATTGCAAAAACATGCGTGTCAGGTTATTGGAATACTCTACCTTGTCCCTAGGTGTGAGTGTGAGTGCAAATGTTTGTTTGTCTGTGTTTGCCTTGCGGTTGGCTGGCAGCCAGGTCATGGTTGTACCTCGGCGACTGCCTGAAGAAAGAAACTGCCTGAAACTGAGATAGGCTCCGGCACGCACGCGAACCTCGTGAGGATAATCGGAATCAGAAAATGGGTAGATGGATGGGCATGCTGGAAAATAAACGAGGGCATATTCTGAAGTGGTGAAAAAAATATATAGTAACAATTTGTTGACCAGCGTAATCTCTGTCCCGTCCGTCCCTTTGAGTGTGTGTGCCTTTAAAAAGTGGGTCTTGGACTCTAGCAAGGGTAGTCTAGATTAAATTAGCTAACTGCTCTTGTGTTGGTGGTCATCGACGTGCTGTTGTAATATGTTTGTTAGTTCTGCTTTGTGTCACTGATCACTCTCAGTAGAACTTGATCTCCGCATTTGTTATCAAGGTTGTAAAAAACAATAATTGCCTCACTGGGCTGAGCGAGTGCTTGGATATTTGCCATGATGTGCGCAGTCACATGACGACACTCTGAAATGTAGCAAGCACACGCCGAAGCGGCTTGGGAGCGAGGCCGGCAAAGGATACAAAGAGGTCCAAGACGAGCGTTCCGAGGCTTCCGATGAGCCAGGGCAGGTGATGGATCACGTAGCTGTTCTCTCCTTGACCCTGGTCAGGGTTCTTCAGCAGCACACTCAGGCCATATGTAGTGTTTCCGAGGATTACCAGAGCAAACAGGAAGAAAGACACCCCCTCGGTTGACTTCCTCTTGAACTGAGAACAGAAGTCAGAGTTGAACATATTCAATCACTAACACAGGCAAGAGCAAACTGGCCTCCCTTCATATATGACTAATAATAACAACATCGTGTGATCGCCACTCCTCCAGGGTGGGCGGGACATAGTTGGGGTAAGAGCATTATTTCACAACACTTTGAATACAACACTCAGTATATTGAAGGTCTATATACATTTGTGAGACCTACACAGGTCTCCAACTGAAGGCCCGTGGGCCGGTTCTGACCCTCCAAGTCATTTGATATGATCCATCCCTCCCCTCCACAATCCGCTTTATCCTCACAAGGGTCGCGGAGCGTGCTGGAGCCCATCCCAGCAGTCTTCAGACATAGATGAAAAACCATTTAGGCTCACAATCACACCTAGGGACAATTTAGAGTGTTCCATTAACCTGCCATGCATGTTTTTGCAATGTGGGAGGAAACCGGAGTACCCGGAGAAAACCCGCGCAGGGGGCGAGCATGCAAACTCCACACAGGAAGGCTGGAACTGGAATCGAACCTGGCACCTCTGCACAGTGAGGCCAACGTGCTAAAGAGTCTTCCACCGTGTGATCCACGAAAGCTTTTTTTTCCCCCATGAATTTTGTTCAAAGCCAGCCATAAAAACACCCGATGGTAGGGTTTCCACATAGAACATTTAAGGCACAATGCAACTCAGCTTCTGGCTAACAAACGTCCTAGCTAGCCATGTTTTAAATGCAAATTCAAGCACCATTAAAACAGCAACAACTGACAAGCCATTATGAGGGTTTACATCCAATTAACACTGCTCAGGCTGTTTCTGGTACACTTGACGGCATTCTTTATTTTCTTTAAGACTGGCTTGACCTCAAATGAAAATATTTAAGCCGTTGGTGCTTTGTTTTCAGTCTCCTTAAATGTGTTCCTGTTTACACCAAAGACAAGCTGTTGGTTTTTCTTGTCTCCTTACTGCGCAGAATATGAAATCTTGTGAGGGCAAACCAGACCGACAATGTGGCCAGCAATGTGGACAAGTTCGACACCTTGGCTCTACAATCCAGCAGCCATGAACGCCGCATGGAACTCCTTTTGAAGCCGCATGAAAACCTCAGGGTTCAAAGCCGTATATGCCGTCAGATTGGATGTGCTCTTAGTTCAGAATATTGATCCATATTTAAGGCGCATCAGATTATAAGGCGCCTTTTGAGAAAATCGAATGCTTTCAGGTGGGCCTGATAGTGTGGAAATTACGGTAGCTTGCAAGTCGCTGGTGAACACTGTGGAATATTTTTGCACCGCAAAAGCCAAAATGTCATTTTGGAGTCATGCGAGGAGAGACATATTTGCAAAACAAACACATGTTCAATATGCAATGTCAATATGTACATACAGAACCCATGTTGCCATACTCACATTAGTGTAAATTTGAGGAAGTCTGGAAAACAGGTAGAGCACTGATGATACGGAGCCAATGGAGAAGCCGATGATTTCTTTGGGGGTGAAAGACTGAAGCAATGAAAACGAGAGATAAGCAAGAACAAGTTTTAAACCGTTACAACCTGCGATTCATTTTGAAAAAAAAATTACATTTATTTATGTGTAAGTCAACCCAACAAATTCATTCAGAGTAGAGTTGAACAGAGATCTTCTGAAAATGTTTTGCAGGGCCCTAACAACCTCATTTTGGGGAATTTGCATGTTTTTTTTTTCCAGTAAAAAAGGTTATTGAATATTTCACCATTGACATTTTCTGAGCTTTATCTTGTTGCCGTTCCTTAGAGATGGATTTAACCTGACGTGCAAAATAATGTTTACTGCACAATAAAAAGATCAATGGTGATTCATCAAATTAATTGGATGAAACACAAAATACTGAAATACTGTTCAAAAAGTTACATCATCGCATTTATGTACAGATTATGTCCCAGCCCAATTTGGCAAGCATCGGTGAACTTTGGATGGCCCGCCACAGTCACGTAGTTGCCCCGGGCCATCGGGCCACTGTTAACGTAGAACCCTGTTTTGTCCACGATACTCGAAAAGGATTTGTTTAAGTCGCTCTTGACGATCTTATCAAATGTGGACTCAGAGCAAATTTTATTTGGACTTGATAGAATTTGTCCAAAGGGGGATTTCTAGAGAAAGTTATTTCTGTAATGAGCTACCCATGAGCAAAACTGCGCTCATGAAAAGAAGACATCACAGTGTAGAAAACGCAGCGGTCACGACAAAACGTATCCAGCGGTACTTATATCATGGAGCTTCATACTGACCCCGCCAACATCCGCGCTTGAGAGCAGCGTGCGGCCCCTGTATGCCGAGGGCATCGCTTCCTGCTGGTGAGCGAGCCACCCTGGAAGGTTGGCGAAGCTCGTCGTGACGCCCAGGACGCATGTCAAACCCATCACGTGCAAAACCCTCCTGTCTGGTGAAGAGCAGAACAGCCGAGTCAGTCAACAGACATTTCAGCGCAATCTTGCAGAAAAACACTGCAATGTCAGAACATCATCTTCCTGTGGGTAGAAGTGCGGCAAAGACTCAACTCCGCAGAAATAAGTTCCCCAAAAATATCACCATCTTCGCTGATGATTTCCAGTTTCGAAAACAGCACACGGCCGGAGCATTTTATGATCCTTTCATACAAAAAGACTGACGTGGTAATCAGATGCTATGCTATGCGAAGTTAATAATATTACACATTGGCCTTCCAACACAAAGCATGCAACTTGAAAGCAGGGAGACTGAAGGTCAACTTTTTTTTTTCTTCTCAGAAACTAACTTTTTAAAAGTGACTTTAGTGTTGGCTGCAACAAGAAATGGTTTGATTTGATTAAAAAAAAAAAAAAAAAAGGAACCAAGGAAATGGAATCCACAATTATGATACTTAATCTTATTTTGGCACTGTTGACTTGGGATATGGTCGTCAATGTATTAAACGTACATTTCATACTGGTCTTAATTGCAGTAATTAGCAAGATGTAACTTACGGCAACTGAAGTTTTATATTTAAAAGGGTTTCTTTTATTTGCCACATAAATAAAATAATTTAATACAGCATACTCACTTTCAACCATTTTGTTCTTCATCTTGTAGTATAAATACATGGATAACATCAACAAGTCCGCCAGAACATAATAAACTGCAGTGTACGTCTAGAGGAAGGAAGAAAGAAAAAAAAAAAGAAAATCAAAAAGATGTGGGTGAGACCAAGATTCTATAATGGTTAGCCAATAAAACTATAGTTCAGCTTCATTCTTTAACCCAACCCGTCAAGTCCTGTAATATTTCCAAAAACTGGTTGAATAATATCTATACTGTATATATATTCATTACTTAGTCATTTATCCTGTGAAATATTTGTGCATTACTTTATTGAAAATTGCACAAAAACCAGCTGCTTTCCTTTTGATTGACTTTCTCAAATAACATCTTAATTAATGTCAATTTGACTAATTATAAGTTTGACAGTTTAACAGAAGGCAATTATTTCTATTTCCATTATTTTCTATGGAATGAATTGAATTAGAAGCAGTCCGGCACTTCACAAGAGTCATTGAAATAGGAAATTGATTGACATTTGCGCAAGACGCAATAAATATTTTGTCACTTGCACCATTCGTCACCAGAATTTTTTTTTTTTTAGTTCACCTGAAGCGGAAGCTGATCTGCTAAAAAGGACCCCACCAGGTTGCAGGTGTCACCTCCCAACCACAGCAGCAGAAACCAAATGGAGAGCGCCCTGTCCATATTCCCCATTTTGCACGAGCTGTAGTACTGCCTGTGAACAATTCAAACATACATGATGTTGCGTTCAGGTGAATGCTTATTTCCTTCCATACGGCCCAGAGAGGGCGATACTTACGGCAGTGAGGACATCATGAAGCAGAAGATAGACAGGAGGCCCAAATAGATGCTGGCCATGTCCCTTGCATCCTGGGCACATTCTCCAAGACCTTCCCAGACCCATTTGGACCCGTTGGGGCACAATGTAGTTAAGTTTCCACCCGAGGCCCATCCAAAAGGCACATTTCTGAGGACTCCGTACTTCAGCATATTCTACAGACAAAAATAGCTGTGAAAATCAATTGTGAATGATTGTCTCCAAACTGGTAAACAACGTCTATCTAGTACGGCGCTTCCCAACCTTTATTTAGCCAAGGTATATTTTACATTTGACAAACTTGACAGAAAACCACTAAGGTAAAATGTCACAAGTAGACAGCTGTACTAATAATGACTCATCTCCTTTTACTTACAAATGTATGTTAATTATCTTCCTTCTGCTATCTACTGAAAGCTCATTTACTTGGTCTGCATTCATCATTCATGAATAAAATAGATAGAGGAACAAGATAGATTATTGTGGAAACCTAAAAGACTCAAAATTAAATATTTTAAAACAACCTTTTGAAATAAGTACAATTTTGATAAAATAAGACAATACAATATGGTCATTAACTTGTAAGATAAGGTAATATTATTTGGAAATATGTTCTTACTATTTTTAATATTTCTCATAATTTTATTATAATTAAATATTTCACAATAATTACTTTAACAATGTGACACTTTTTAAAAGACTGTAATAACTTGTTTTTTAAGATTTAATTTTTTTTAAAAACGAAACGTTTTTGTATTTTCCCCCCAGAGTCCATATACAATTCATAACGCCATTTTTCAGGAAAAAAAAAAAAAACTTAGTCTGTCAATCAAAGTTAGAGGATTGGACTTCTGAGTGTGGTCACCCACGTTAGCATTTGGTTGCGTCAATGCTGGACTGAAATGTGAACTTCCAGACACCACCTCATCAAAAACACACCGCTGCTGCAATTCTCTCTGAGGTTCAGGTTAAGTCCTTCCGTTACTATCCAGACGATGGGCAACTTCTCTGAGTAACTCTGAAACGGACTTCTCTCCTGTAGCCATTCTGTCGGATGTCTCCACGCTTGAATTGATATTGCATTTGATTGACAGACCAAGTCGATGTGCTGAAATATGGCATTATGAAATGAAAAAGGCCATTGTGGAAAAGGACATTATTAAATAAAAATGGACTTTATTAAAAAAAAAAAAAAAAAAAAAAAAAATAAAAAAAAAAAAAAAATTTTTAAAAAAAAAAAAAAAAAAAAAAAAAAAAAAAAAAAAAAAAACACTTTTTTTATGTTATACAACCTGGGAAAATAAAAAGTTATTATTTTATAATTACATTGTAATAAGTGGATATTAAAGGATTGTAAGAACATATTTCATAATTACATTACCGTATTTTATAATTGAATGGCCACATTATATATTTCTTTATTTTAATGAGGAAGTATTGCTAAATTGTGTTTCTATTATTTTGACACATTAGGGCTTCCATAGATTATTTGTAGAAAACAATTTTTCGTGAAAATTGGATTGGTAATCACTGGTTTCGAAAATTGCTCATGCAGCCCATGAATTAAAACGAATACAGAAAAGTCGCTTCAATTTATTTTGTAAACAGATCAACCAACCATTCGTTTTTTAAATCTTAACTTTTCTATCTAATCCTATATCCGATGGGCTCGATCATATCGACCTATTTAATAAAACACAATTTCCAGTGAAAACAAAATCGAAAGGATGAAGTTTAATCACGTGACGCCACTGATTAGATCAACCAAGCGCATCCGCATGGAAACCGATTTAAAATTACATATCTGCTCAGGTTTTGTGCAGTCAGCAGTTAAGCAAAACAAGTCTTAGCCACTTAGTTAGCTTCACATCTGTCAAGAAACAAGTGACTGAGTTTCCTTTCAACTGCTGTCTTGTAACATCAAATACGTTCAAGTGAAATTACAGTATAATGAGCAATGAAAAGGTGGCTTGCCTGTGCGGTAGCTGGACGGCGGATACAATCAAGCCCCGACGGCCCACGTATGGCTCTGGAACAATGCTATGCTGAGCAAAACAAGGAAGCAAATGACAAATAAAAAAGCTCGCTGCGAGTTGATTGGCTGCAGCGTTGTTGTCATGTGACATAAAGTGGGCCAATGGCGAGGGCGAAAGCAAGTTTCGTCTTCAAATCGTGTTCGAGTTTAGATAGATAGATAGATAGATAGATAGATAGATAGATAGATAGATAGATAGATAGATAGACAGACAGACAGACAGACAGACAGACAGATAGACAGATAGACAGATAGATAGATAGATAGATAATTAAACAGAACGCCGTGTCTAGACGAGTGAGGCTGAATATGACATGACTGTTCAGAAACTTTTGACTTGACTTCTCCTTTAAGTGATGTGTAAAAGTTAGGCAAATCAACATTTTGATGTATGCGTTCCAAGTAAATGCCACTTTTAAGAAGCGCCATATGCAATGCGGCTGCACGTGTGTACAGGCACACAAATATTTCACACGAACTTGTCACATATCCACAAACCTTGACAAAAAGTGCATCGTGTGTCTCCACGTGCTGATTTTGTAATTAGTTAACACTGTCACCAGCTTTATATTTTTAGAACGCGGTTGTTAAAGAGAGCGGTTACAATGTGCCATCGTGTGCAAAAAGAATGGCTGGGACCGATGGTGTTTTGTTCAAATTCAAGGTCAAGTTAAAGCAGAGCCTCGCTGAGACATAAGGCAACTAAGCGCCTTGTTGGTGTCCTTGGCCAGTAGGATCGTGAGGATTTTTTTTTTACGATAGAACACCATCCATTTTCTCATATGCGGGCGTACTGAAGCCTATCCCAACTGCCTTTGGGGAGTAGGCGGCAAACACCTTGAACTGGTTGTCAGCCGCCATACATACAACAGACGCTATGCGAGAGGTAAACGTGTACGGCGGTTAAGACAAGGGAAACGCTACTTTCCCGAAATGTCAGCTGACTGTTGACTCAGCAGTCAGCATCCATCAACCAACCGGCACGCGTCAGCCGGTGCACCGCGTTCAGGATTCACGCTACAGGTCACGTGCTTTCATTACTTCCGCATTCCAGGAAAGACTTGCACAATTGTCGAGCTGCTGTGTTAACACACTACGTCAAGTATACGGCACGGGGAAACGTGAACATGCGCAAAGGATTTGCATTTGTATTAATGTAAGTATACATGGATGTATCAGAATACCATCTATTCATGTACTATAAATACACCTGAAAAGCAACACTAAAAAGGATGCGACTTTCAAGCCCAATTTACAACATATATTTCCTTTAATATATTTCAGTTGACGATGCACCCACTCATGAATACTGCAGGAATGCCTTCATTCCAAGGGCTAGATTTTCTTATACACACAGATTCATCAAGTCAACACATTTCAAGTAAAAAAAAAACAAAACAAAAAAAAAGTTACAGTACTTTATATTTATTACACTTAGGTCAGGGAAAGCTTGTTTTATAAAGAAATTATCACAACATATATACAAATGAAAATGCTTGATCTTAAAAAAAAAAAAGTCCTTTACAACTGTCAAACAAATTCAACTTAAAAATCTGAAGAGGCAAGTTGTGAAATGTTCATGAAACCAGAAAGAGATCGCCGCTGCTCTTCTCACTTGATGTGGAAAATTTTGTCATCAGTTTTTAACCGTTTACGTCGGGGTTGAATGAAGTCGTCATCAGAGTCCTCCGTTTCCTCCCCCTCCCTCTCCTTCTCCTTTTCCTTTTCGTTTGTGTCCACGGTTTGCTCATCAGGCGGCTCGGGGAAGCTCTGTCCCGGAAAGATCTCCTGCAGCTTTTCCTCAAAGTAGACACTCACTGCCTTACCGGAGACGGCCATCTCTGATCCATCCTGCCGGGGAAGGAGGAGAAAGACGAGGAGTTGGGGATAAAATGGGTTGAAGAGGAGACAAATTAGATGTGGTTAAAAGCTGTGCTAATACGGTAGCTCTGGCTGAACCTTGCTATACAGAGCACTGAAATCTTGCCAATTTATTTCACCACATCCCAACCCACTGTGGCTCCAGGAAACATTGCTGCAATTCACCAAGTGTGTTTGCACGCACGTTTAGTCGCACTAACGCTGCAGCTCTAGTTTTCTTGGGACTACATGTGCTGTGTACATGCATCCAGGGCCTCTGCTACCGTCTGTGGGGTTATGTCCCCCTTTGAGCATGCACTCACGGGTAAATTTAATTATGCGTGTTGACCAGCCTGGAGATCAATGAGGTGACTCTTGTTCCCATTTATTATTTATAAACCCCATTGAGCATAATAAAAATCAACAGAAGTTAATAATCCATAAAGATCACAGTAGAGTCCTGAATTGGACCCCACCCCGCTCCGACAAATTAAAATAAATTATAAAAACAGACTGGGGTTATCTTTTCAGAGGATTAACTCTTCAGTCGGTTTGTTTTGTACATTCCCCAATTCTGGAGATCTGACTGGGTCTACATAATTAAGAAAAACACAAACAATCATTTGCGATAATGTATTGTAGGAAACCTGCAGTTGCGTTGAGTGGAGTGCTGCAAAAGTTATGCACATAAGATCTGACTAAGTGAGACCCTGAAGGCATCTGTGAATTGTGACTGCATGAGTGAGTAGAGGGTTGGGGGCCGCATCTTAAAGCTGTGGGATGAAAGTTGACGGTTGGCAGAAACACCCATTGGGATGTTTTCTTTGGGTGTCCAGCGTTAATTTCACTCACTCACACACACACACACACACACACACACACACACACACAAAGAGGTTACCGATCAGCTACTGCAATATATCGTCTTGTTATCGGAGAATGTTTGGTGAAGTTGCAGATAGCTGACGTGAGGATTTAAGCTCTTTGTCAGCTAGCGTTAGCTGATGCCTTTTCAGACGGAGGGAGTGCACGGCACTTACGGTTTAGTTCTATTTGAGAAAGCCTTGTATATTTCAAAAGTGATTGTTCCACCGGCCTCATTTTTAATAAGATATTTCTACAAGCATGTTGATTTCAGCGAGGCATCCGTCTTCTTGCCAAAAGACAGATTCCAGCTGAAGCGAAGTTGTAAAGTCGACAACATCAACCAAGTCCAGTGGTTTCAGATGTATGGCCCAATGGCCAGGACCAGCCGACATGGGGTTCAGTTGTGGCCTGTGGGGATTGTTCTGCCTGTCTGGAAAGTTCTAATTCATTTTTACATAAGACTCTTATTTTGAAACTCATGTTTTTATTTTGACACACACACTTTGGAAGTCTGGACTCGTCGACTCAAGCATGTCGTTGACAATGACAAAAGATTGCAATCCATGCATTAAGTAAGAAACATCTGTAGGCATCATAATACCTTATACTGTTTGATAAATAATTTCAGATGCAAAAATGAGCCTGTGCAAGTAACTTGGGACATGTTTTTAAAAATGTCTTCGTGAGATATACAAGATCATTTGATGAATGCTAATAGTTGGAGATGGGTTGCTAATTCTTTATTCCGACTAAATGCTTACCTCATATATATATATATATATATATATATATATATATATTCGCTGTATTTTAGCTAAAATATACCTGCTTTTTAGAACAAGGTAGAAAGTGGTATCAGCTAATTTAAGTTTCTATTTTGCACTTACTGTGGTTGTCATTAATAGATATTCACCGTACATTTTGCACAACTTCCCAAATAAATGCGGACATTTCTGTAAATTTTATATAATTTATAAATCATAGGTTGTTTTATCAAATATACATCTCGTATATAGATTGGAAAATAGGATTTGCAACTTGCAACAAGATAATCGATAAATGTGAATGTTTTCCAAATGTAATTACACCCCCCCCCTCACTTCCCTAAAAAATAAAAATGGACCTATTGTTATTTATCAGTGATGTATATACCAGTCCGGCCCACTTGACATCCAATCTGGGTGAATGTGTCCCCTGAATTGAAACGAGCTCGACACCTCTGGACTAGTCAATTCATCCCCCTAGTAGACAGTAGAAATACAACAATATGAGGACTGTTTTACATACTCCTCTAATATTACAAAAATATTTCTTAAAGCCTCAGCGGGAGGGGACAGGACATCTGTGCTCTATTTCAAACATCTTACCTGCGTATTAATCGCTTTCTCCTCAGCATAAACTTGGATTATTCGAGACATCTAAAAAGGGGCAATAACATTACAACACAGACAGTCAAGTAGCAGGGGGAGAAAAGAGTTCACAGCATAGGCAACTGAGGTAAAAGAACAGATCGGAGGTCTGTGGATGGGTGACTGTGTCCAGGCTATCCCCTGTATCATGATCACCAAAAGTGAATCGCGTTCAAGGTGATTTGCCGCCCGAGGAAAAATCTCCCTCACTTTACTTCTTCGTATGTGTCCTTTAGTTATTTCAGGTTGACAAACCGATTTAATATGTTTCAAAATAAATAAAAAGAGACGTCGATTTCCATCACGGGGCAAATTTTGTTTATAAAAAAACCAAGTTGATTGCTCACCAAATTTTCTTTGAGGCACTATCCTAATTTATGGACTATTTTCCATTTGCAAACTAGCTTGATATGAACACCCTGAAAGAACAGTTGAGGCAGGGGTTTGATTTCTACCACATACCACTTGCTCTCACTATCGCCAGGGAGCACTCGCATCGTGGCCAAAGGTGAATTTGGGACAGGTAATCCGATGAGAGACTTTACTTCCTTGCTGCAATTATGTGTTTTCACTAATTTTGATGTGAAGACAGACCCATAATGATCCAGCAAATTAACTGCTTTTGAGGGCTGAATTAATTGCATTTTCATTGATTTCAACGGGAAACAACCTCGATTTGCGACACATTCAGGTTCAAAACAAGGTCACAGAACAAATTAAATAAAATCTGAACCCGAGGTTTTCGTAATAGGAGCAATAGTCCAGAAATTGGGAGCAATCAGACGTTAACAAGTGTCCTGGAACACACTTTTGTTTGTGTGCAATGTACGATCATGACATCAACCATTCTCTTTGGAATCAATGTCATATTGCATGCTTTCTATCCTCATTATTTTAATCGTTGTCGGTTAACAGTTGTGTGGTGTATTCTCTCCCTCTGCTACTGTGAGTATGATTAACATGCAAAGTTTAGGATAATCATGTTTGTCTGTGGCCCCAGGGACGTACGTCTTCAATATCTTATCACTTGCAAAAACACGCTATGCTAATAACTCCAACAGCACGTAAACTGCAGTTTCTTAAAAGCTATTCTTTGAACCGGTTGCGGTCATTCTCACCAAGAAATGCATGCACGCTCAGAAACACACCAGGTGGTATTTCCAAAAGCAGGCTAAAGAGTCATGCTGCGCACCTCATTGTACTTTGCACAGTTTTGGAAGATCATGCGCATGTCACACACAAATTCCTGGATGGACGTGTAGTACTGGGAGTTCTGGAGCTGCAGCTTTTTCTTCACTTTCTTCAAGTCCATCGGATGCTTGATGATTCTGTAGTAGTTTGGCACCTAAATTAAAGAAAAAAAAAGAAAAAAGAAAAGCAGTTGCACGCCTGATGGAGACACGTGGACTGCAGCTTTGAATAATGAGAAAATATATTCATGACAACTCTCTTGGTATAAAGGAAAACAATATTTGAACTTGCATTGGTGACGAAAAATACAATTTCCCTGTTGTGGTTACCAGTTTTGAAGCTCGAGCACGACACAAACAAATTAGCCATTTCCGGGGCAAAGGTGCGACGTGTTATGTGCTTCTGGTATTTGCTTGTTTCAATCTACTAGGATGACCTCTGGAGGAAAAACAACCTCACTGTGTTTGTGTAATAGCTATAGTCAATAGTTTGGAGCCGGTGCTTTTCAAGGTGGAAATGTCATCATAAGTTGTGATTTTTTAAAGACGAATATCGCTCATGAAGCCATCTCTGTGGTGTGCCGGTAATTGTATTCAATGATTCCACTCCACTTTTAATTTGAGCACACCTAACAAGTGATGGGTCTGCCAACACCGTTGCATCAGCGCAAGTGTCAAGCTCATTGAGTGAAACTCCATGTCGATGCAAGTATCGCTTTAACAAAAATCACGTTATCATCTTAAATTATTTGACACTTCTGGCAGTTAGGAGTAAATGCGTTTCATTGCTTTTATTTTATTATTGGCTGTCTTTTATGTTTTCCTGAAGAAAATTTTAATGCACCTGCACCATAAAATGTGGAAAAGGCTTTCTATTCTTTTTTATTCAACTTTGCCAATACTCAGATCGCTGAAGAAAAGAGAACCGTCATTCACGATAACTCTATGTCATTTCAGGAGACAGTGAGTAGATTGTCAAAAGTTTGATGCTATCGCTATGTGTTGGACTAACGACTGCAAGCAAGCATGCCGTCGAACCCAAATGCGGAAATGGTGCGTGTGCAGAGTCCATTCTACTTTATGTGGGTGTGCATGGCTACTCACAGAGCTCGGGACAGGCTTCCGGAAGCCCACACTCAGCTCATGACAGAAGATATACAGTAGGAGGCGCTCACATTTCTGCAGACAATTAAGAAGCCAATTAATTTCGTCAGTAAGGATATTCAAGCCTAGTGCAGATGTGCTGGCTGTACTCGCCCTCTGGTCTTCAGGATTTAGGACATTCTCTCCACTGACTTTCCTGCTGTCGTCACAGTATTGTATCTCAGGACTAGATATACTCCGGCAAAATGTGCACAGAAAATCCCCCCTGAGAAATATGCAAAAAAAAAAAAAAAAAACCCAAAACAAAACAATGTGATTCAAAGGAAAAGTGCAAATTTGATAGTGCAGAATGCATCTATGTCAGTCTTCTTTGCAGACTACTCACTTGGGGAAGATTTTGATGGTGGGTACATGGCATTTCATGTGGAACACTTTGGGACAACGATCGCAGCACAGCAAGTCGCCGCCATTGATGCAAACAGCACACCAGTCTTCATTAGGGTCATCCTCCTTCACGTCAAGATTGCCCGTTGCGGTTGATGAACCCTGCCCTTTGTCCATGCATCCATTGGTTAGCTGCGTACCAGAGCCGTTGAGCCCAGAGCAAGAGGTCTGAGACTGGGCCTCTGATTTAATATTCTCCTTTGTGTTGCTTACAGGACTAGGACTGCCCATCTGCAGGGGGAAGAAAGGCAGGTTTTGGTGTCATTGTTATATACAATAAAACAAATGGTAGAGAAATCTCAATTGAGGAGACAGAGAGAGGGAGAAAAACCTCACACTCGATATACGGTGCTACAGCAACAATCTTGAACTGAAAGTTGCCAGTCTTGGCGCTTCATTGGGGGAAATAAATTGTTAATTGGGTCGGTAAAGCCAGCAACAAAGTCATATAAAAACACTGAGCAGCAGAACTGTTCCAAGGGAAAACACAATTTGATTGGTTGGTAGTGTCACATGTGACGCTGTGCCGGCAAGAGGCAGAGCTGAGCTTTTTGACTTTTTCCTCTCATTTTGCATGTGTTTTCCATGACTGCAATATTTGTCAATCATTTTTCAAGTTTTCCTGGACATGCAAGGGCTGGCCCCGTCTGCATGCTCCTGAAATGTGGTGATTGTGAAGACGCAAAGTGTGAAAAACTTCAAGGAGAATTACCGGTAATCCTTTTTTAAGACACAATAAAGGCAGGAAGGCAAAGAGAGATGTCAGTGTAAGGGGGCCGCAAGCAATTTTTTTATCGCTCCAGCTAGGGTCGTGAGGTCAGTGCCTTGCTCAAGGGTGACTCGCCAGTACACAGAACGCAGACTAGCATCTCTCCAACTACACTAGTTGCCATTTTCCGTACCATGCAAGCACTCCTCCCAGAGTCTTGTGCTCCCTCCGCCTTCGTGGAAGTACTTGGACACCTGTAACTCTCCTCTGAATCAGGCTCCTGTTTGACCCGAACAGGTTCCACAGTACCTCCACCGGCTGCTGTTCTCCCCGCAGAGCTACAACTTGAGAAGACAGCAGGAGAGAACAAATCACCTTAAATTACAAAATGTCAAATGAGAAGAAGAATCAAACGCGACTATCTCGAGCAGGCGTGGCCAACAAATTTTCCAAAGGGGCCATCGAAGAAGATGGAACAACTGCAGAGGGCCACGTCATGCTATTTTGTTCAGTATAAATTGAAGGTCTTTACAAAAGGGTTGTTCTCAGAAATCATGGTCCAAGAGTTGTGACACGTGAGCTCAAAACTGAACTTGCGCAAAACCAGTTAAAATTAAATCTGCTTAAAATCAAACAACAACCCAACAAACAAGCCATAAAGCAATGAATTGTGTTGCTCTGATAAGCTTTATATAGTTAAGGCCTTTTCACACTGCACTTGGTTTTTGCTTGCCCCTATTTGGAAGTGCCTGCAGAGCAGCAAACCAGGAAGAAACCCCAAGGCTTTCTTCACTGGTTGGTCTATTGCTGTTAGGATCCTGAAATCACTCCGCCAGACCATCTCCTATTGGACGCGAGACATCACATAAGTGCTTTTCGAATTTGTGTGCCCACCTTGCACGTCACGCCACGACTCGGTGTTCCCTCATTGCACATATGCAATTAATAGCTGCTGAATGTTGGTAACTGCAGTGTAAAAATGCCTTCGTAATCAAAAATGAAAAATGTCAAAATTATAATCTGTCATTAATATTACACACAGAATACACACATGAACTTTATCACTACTTAACATTCACAATCCACATCTACACTGCACATTAATTTTGTAAAATATGCAGACATTTTGAGCCCCAACTACTAACTCATTAGCTGTTCCGAGTTGGGACACACAAATCATTGTTAGGGCAAATACCCCTGGCCTTCTTCCCACCACCGTGCATGAAATATGTTGCTCACGTAAAGACCACTTTATGCTTTGTTGGCAGTTGCTTTAAAAAAACAAAAACAAAATCAAGTCGAGGGGTAGGAAAAAAACTTCACAAAGACTTTGCATGGGCCGGTCTGAGACAGTGTGCAGGCCAATAATGGCCCACAAGCTGCAGTGATACCTCACCTGCCTCTGCTGCCTGTGCTGGATGTGCTGGAGGGTCGTGCGGGCGTGTGTGCATTGGAAAGACCTGCAGATGCAAATGGTGTAATATAAATACGGCAGTTAAATAGTACATAAGGTGAGTCTGGGGCACAAGAGTGGTGGAGTAATTTGTAAGGATTTGGGTACCTGAGGATCCAGGCGAGTGTATCGAAAGTCCAGGGGAGGGGTTCATGTCCACTGAACCCGACTGCTGTTGTGTGCTGGCTGTGATGTAGCGAGTCAGGAGGTGGCCAAGGGTGCTCGAACCCGCATCCTCTAGCTATGGAAACAAATGTACGGTTGTGTTACATTTAATTGGTGCTCCAGATAAGTGCAGATGATTAATGGGGAAGTCAACTCAAAATAAATCCCAGAAGTAATTTTTTCATTATTTTTCAAAATTGTTCAGTCCTGGTTATCAGCACCTTGCTTGGAAAAAAAATTCTCATATGCACACCTGAATGGGTGGGATCTCCGGTAGACAGGGCAAGTTCTCTGGGTTGGTGACTGAGGGGATGAGCTCAATAGGAGCGATGACAGGATTGGCAGAGCCTCGATGAGCATGTGCTCCTGCCATGCTGGCGCTGGTAGGACTTGTGGGGTTTGCATTGTGGCCCGAAGCCACTGGGAAAGGGCCTGCATGGCCTGGGTTGGAATGCTGAATAAAAACCAGGAAGGATTGAGGGGGGAGACAGAGGGGAAAAGTTGGGAAAACACGAATGCAAGACACCCAGTGAGTGTTGTTAAGAATTAAAAAGTCTGCTGTGTTGAAGATGGTTACCAGTCATGCATTTGGATGACAAACATGCTACACCAAATACACGAATGGCAAAGTAGGAAAAAGGTACCAAACCCCAGATTGCAGTAAGAAACGAAACCTTTGGTGGCTCATCTCAGATTCTAAAGACATCTGGACACAGAAACAAACATGGCGGGGTATAGTGGAGGTTTCGCTGTCCTAGTCTTACATGCAGGAAGTACGTGTACATTTTGACACCGCATTCTTAATGGCTACCTTGGAAATTGATTGATCGACGCTACATAAAGTTAAGGTTAATCAATATGCACTGCATTGAAAAAAAAAAGAAAGAAAGAAAGAATTCCATCACAATAAGATTCAGTCATATCCCAGTACACAGTACTGCATTCATTACTTAAATATAAAACGCAAACACCCTGACTCTCATTAGTAAAACAGAGTGTGATCATTCTAAACACTCAATATTAGTAATATTCATTTTTAAACTAGCGGCTATTTAACTTGCAATTTGGGATTCAGTACTTGCCATTGTAATACATCATTTGGGTATATTTCATTTGATAGTCTAGATCAGGGCTTCCCAACCACCGGGCTAGACCCATTTGGTACCGGGCCGCACAGAAACAGACTATGGACACTTATTAATTTGCTGTTCCACTAAGTCAGCCAAGTCGGAAATGTCGGCCCCCCCAAAAAGATTCAAAATCATTTCCATTGTACACAATTACTGTTTCCAAACCCCTCGTGACCTTATCACAGTATATTAGCACCCTCTATTGGTGTGGAGACTGCGGTTTATGAATTCTGGTCAGTGACGTTATTGTGGCGAAAATGAGCACGAGAAATAACTAAATAGCAGACCAGTGGATCGCACGTCCCTGGTGCCAGCAGGCCACTGTCTCACTCGGAGAATTGTGGCTAATTCGCCACTACGAGGCTGGTGATGAGTGACTTTTAGAGTGACCATTCACCGTGTGGTGGGGAACACTTAAAAAAAAAAGGCTCATGTGTGGAGATTAAAGCAGGTGATTAATAAAAAACTGGTGTCACATAAAAAGAGAAGAAGAAAAAGAAGACAGATTTGTGCGGGTGCTTGCGTGTCCGTGCAAGTGCGGACTGACCTGTCGCTGCAGGTGAGGCTGTATCATGGTGGGAAACTGTTGCCCGTTGTGTCTCGGCTGAGCTGGGGGTATCCTGCCCTGTCCCTGTGGTGGGCCTGGTAGACGCATATGGTGGGACGAAGAGTACATGGAGGGAACGGGCCCACCATTTAGGACCATTTGTCCTCTTGGGTGCTGCTGCATACTGATGAGCCTGGGAGGCTGGTCAGAAAGTAATGCAGAACGTTAGAAATTCAAGCTGGTGACGACACGGGGAAGAGAGTTCGAATTCGTGTGTTCATGAATAATGTATCAATTTCCCAAGCAAAGGTTTGATTTTAAATATACATAGCCTTTTCTGACACGGTTGCATTATGATGGCTGCTCATAACAGTGACACTTGGAATTACCTGCTGCTGTACGATGGGTGGGACAGTCTGTCTGGTATGTTGCTGGGGCATTTGGGAAGCAAGGCGCATCTGTTGCTGCACCTGCTGCTGTTGCTGCTGCTGGAGATGTTGCTGCTTCTGTGCAAAAGCTGCCTGCTGCATGTGCTGCAGACGAAGCTGGGCTAAATTTATCTGCCCTTGATTTTTGCCATGTTGACCTTGGCCTGGTGAAATGGGAGCACCTCCACCCATCATATTCGGAGGATGTGCAGGCGGCGGTGGCTTCTCAATTACCAGATTACCTAAAATTGGAAAAAAATGGTACTCACACAAACAGCTGGGTGCATCCAAAGCAATCAATTAATTAATTACAAGCGTTATAATTCTAGATACCATAAATATTGGACAAAATAACACCGACATAAAGAATCTGAAATGAATTGAAATGCATGTCTTTTTTTTTGGGTGATACTAACACAAATTTTCACATGTCAGGCACGAAATACAATCCCCGAGGTTCCAGGTTAGCGCACTAAGTCCCAAGACTTGTGAAAATAACATAAAATAAATATAAAGAGATAAGGGTAAGGCTTATATAACAGCTTCAATATGTGCAATTATGCAAGGCATCAAAGGGGTGGATGTAGCAGAACGAAAACGCAAGAGCCTTAAATTTCACCAACCTACAAGGTAATTTTGTACTTGACAAAAAGATTAAGAATGTGCAAGAGTCAAGTGTTCAATGTACAGGGATGAATGGGCATGAGGCTAGGATGTTGATGGAAATCAATGGTGACGTTTTTGCGTAACGCTGCTATAACCAACCAATTGACCAAACAATGAGGGTTGCTTTCATGCTTGCTAGAAGTAAAATTAAGACCCAAGGTCACAACTGAAACTTGAAAAATCTGCCATCATATGTGAAATCTGCTCCATACCTAGATTAACCACGTTTTTGGCCCAGAAGGTTGGGTCACAGAAAAAGCGCACTTCTCCATTAGACACAGGCACTGGCTCCAGTCTTGCCTTAAAGAGCTGGCGAAGCTGAAATAGAATCTGTAAATACACACACACAGAACTCATTTGTTGACCTGACTCCACAATTCCATTAAAAACGAGTAACTTTCTTCTTTGGCTAATGCACCACCATTCTACAACAGGGGTGGGCGACTGGTAGCCCCGGGGAGAGTTAAATTATAAACATTTTTTCTACTGTCGCTGATCAGTTTTTAGTTAGGCCAGCAGTGAGTGAGGCCAGGGCAAGCACAGAAGGAACAGCAAGTATTTATTATTGTTTTACTGTAAATATATTTTACTTTGTTATTATTTTATTTTTGTCCCTTCAGCGCAGCCGGCCCCAATTTTGATTATATGGAGTACAAAAATAAAAAAACAACACCAGCTCTGTATTTAAAAATTAAAGTGAACAACGCATATGAATGATGTCTCCCTCCATCATTTTAGTTTCTAATCACTGCTCTACTATGTTTCATGAAACTCTGTGGCGTAATTTTTGAATTATTGTGATGATTAACTTAAACTCATAAATGGGGAAACTTGGCATATGCTCTCCCATGAATCCATTTCAATTGGCGCAGGCAGCATAATGTACACTAAAAATGACAAACAAACTGTAGTATTCCCCATGGTTGCCACTTTATTAAGTATCTTTGTGATTAATAAAATATTACATGACACATATGATCATGCTGATCAAGAACATACCGGCCTTTTGCTATAAAGCAGTGCTGTGCTGCTGCCAGTCGAGATGGCCCATTGGCAGAAGTTCAGCACATGGTGGATCTGCTGGGCGAGCTGGGTGGTATCCTTATGCTGGGCCATTAGCCTCGCACTGCGCTCTTTGGTCACAGTCTAGACACAAGTGGGAATATTTCATTGTAAAACTACACTTGAGCATTGTAAAATGGTCACACAGAGGACGGTTTAAGGTACAGAGATCCTGGAGACACCCATTTTAATCCAAAACAACAAGAAAAAATAAATAAATAAAAGCACTGAAATAAATTCAGTGAACAAAGATGAGGTCGTCAGATAAATTCTTCTCACCTCCAGCTGCTGTAGTAAAGACTTGCCCTTTTTGTTAATTTCATTTATCAAAGTAAACACTGCAATCTTGATCTCATGTTCAACTTTCTTATGGGATTCAGCCAGCTCTTTTAACCTGGGTTTAAAAATCACACACACACACATTACAATAATGTGGGTAAAGCACGAAATGCTATTTCTCTTGTCAGGACACTATGATAGGAATTGACAAATCAATGTCAATAAGCAGCAACAAAGAGCTGACATTCACTCACCTGTTTTGTACTTGAGACACTGAGTAATGGACGTAGTTTTTCTTCTCCTGGAGTTTGGTCATGGTTGATTCAATGATACTTTTATGGTTAAGAAAAGCTTCTTCCAAGAACTGATACCTGAAAATAGGGGTGGGTCATGTGGGCAAATAAATATAGCTCGATTATCTTTTCAAATTTTCCAATAAGGATAATCTGATGATATCTACAAAAAAATGCTGTAAACTTGCATCTCATTTACCAACGCACACAATGATTCATCAATATCTTTGTACAAACCCAATTCCACAAATCACATTCTGCACGTTACAACGGCGTGGCTTCGTAGTAAAAGAGTGAGGATACGATTTCTATCGATCTAGTAGTCCTATACTTGCATGCTCAAACATTTCCACAACTTTATAGTTGACAAACGACCAGCAAAAAAAGATGCAAGGCGCACTCTTAGCTGCTGGCTTACCCTCATGAATTCCAGCTACTAACTACTAATGCCTTTTTGCAGTCATATGCGATAATTTCTTTTTAACAAATTGTGAAGCGTTTGTTTATTGATTGTCTCATAATCTATTTTTCCTTTGCAAGTTTTTTGGACACCATTCTCTCATTTGGGAAATAATGAATAATGTTTTATAGATTTTTTGGGGGATGATTGGGCATGAAGTCGAATGAGGACTTCCAGGAACTTTCTCCTCTTTTGTAATCTATGCATACAATCGGTTGTTTTCATTTAGAGACAAGTATTGATAGATAATGTAAAATTGCACATCATTAAAACAATGTTCACAACAATATCGCTAGCGATTTACAATGAATACAAAAACAGTAATTGTCAATGACAGCTTTCATATAACAGAATAATTCAAATCAAGCCTTAATGCCTGGATGAACACACACACACGCACACACACACACACAAAATAAAAAGCCAATCATTTAATTTATGATTTATAATTCAATTGAATTAATATTTAAAGTATACAGTAATCCCGTTGTCCGTCCGCAAGGGTTACATTCCAGACCACTCCCACAATAAGTGAAATCCGGGGAGTATTTGAATACTCCCAGGCATATATTTTTTTTAATTTTATGAAATGTTATTTTCTTTAAAACACACATTTAAACTTTATACTCAGCAAAAACTACAGCTGAGCTGTAGTTTGTCTTAAAGTTTCACTCTTCTTCCAAATTTACACTGAAATAAAATAGTGTGCCACAATCGACTGGTCAACAGAGGCATTGCACCCCAAAAAAAACACCTAACAAAACGGTGCAAAAAAATAAAAATTAAATTAAAATAGCTGAAACATTGATGGAGATGGGTTTACTGTATGAGGAATGCAACTCTGCTGGAAGATGGAGCACACTTAACAAGCATGCTCTCTATTTTTATAGACAAATTGAATGACTACCTATGCTCCTTGTGCTCGAGCAGCTGGCAGTCCCGGCAAGTCAAAGTGTCACAGGTCTCACAGAAAAGCTTGAGTGGCTCTTGCTTGTGGATGGGACAAAAAACGGGCCTCTGTCCAGATGTACCCACAGACTCTGGGAACACAGTGGAGAAGACACCGGTAAATGAATTGGGTGATACAAATGTTGAAGATATGTTTCCACACATACCATCAACCCAAACTGGAGGATAGATTTAAGTATGAAATCAGTATTTAATTATTTTATTTTTTTGCTCATGTCAACAAGGGGAGGTTGTGCAGATGCTGCTACAGACCGAAGAAATAGACATATGAAAATGTGTTTTTCTCATTGGCAGCAGGGCTGTCATAAACGATTATTTTGCTAGTCGTCTAATCAGTAGTCACGATTAGTCAACTAGTCGGATCATGTATAATTTATGGCGTATCGCACCAGCATGCGGCTGCTCTTACAACCATCATTAGCTTACAGCTTGAATTATTAAAGGCATGAACAAGGTATGACAATTAAAATGATACATGAAGACTGTCCATTGAACTTTGACCGGCATTCCTTTTTATAAATGAGGGACAAACTTTAAATTTTTAGCTGTAATTTAATGCATTTTAAAATGGAACCAAAACTATACACTATGCAGAGTTGCACCCATACAGTGAAACTATCAATAAATACAAACGAAATACCTGTAATCATATTTCACTCTACTTGGGCATGAAGCCGAGGAATAAATTAGGAAAATGCACTGCGCAAATGAAAACTAAACACTTGTATTGGTTTTAGATTTTCAATTTAATATTTATCCAAAATGTTTTTTCCTCACAAGTATGCATAATTGATCTACACAAATGTGGTATGCCCCTGGGAAAATGTTTTTGGAGGAACAAATGTAATTTTGTGTTTTAGTGTTTAGTCGTGTGATGCTGATAAGGGCTTGCATTGCGGCAAATATGTCATGTTGTGTTCCTATGATATTTCAACACATCACTCCGTTTGAGAGAGAGAGAGAGAGAGAGAGAGAGAGAGAGAGAGAGAGAGAGAGAGAGAGAGAGAGAGAGAGAGAGAGAGAGAGAGAAATCTTTCTGCCCGCTATGTCACCACTATGGCGCACACACACACACACACACACACACACACACACAGCTGGTGGTTCATAAATGTGAGTCCACTGACTAATTCCTCCTTAACCCATAGAAGATACAACAATATGTTAGCGTACCAACAAGGACATCGTGTTACGTTCCATCAAACACATACAGCAGTGCTTCTCAAATAGTGGGGCGCGCCCCCCTCGGGGGGTGCGAGGCTCCGTCAAGGGGGGCGCGTTTGGCCTTGGGGAACATGCTTTTTTATTTTTTTTTATTTTTTTTTTTTACTGTCCTAGAATAAAGTGCATTTGCACCTCCACTACATTAGGGGGCAGTGGCGCTCTCATTGGCAGAGTGTGCGCAGGGAGCATTCGAAGGGAGGAAATATGACGAAGCGTATGTAGCGCTTGGCTTCACTGTGACTACGGTGGGAGACGAGGAAAGGCTGTTAATAGCCTGTTAAGAAAATAGTGTTTGGCTCCACTTACCAGACGCCGTGTCAGCATCCTCTTTAGTGCGAATCTTGTGATCTTTGGTTATTTTGACCCTCTGGTGAGCTTCCACACAGGTCTTACACAGCCACTCTCCACACTCCACGCAAAAGCCTATGGTTCCAGCATTATCCTCACAACTTGTACATACCTTGAAAAGATAAAAGTCAGGACAAATGCACGGTAAAAGAGCTGCATTCATACAGCAAACGATAAATTTCCTTCATAATGTCAATATAGAAATCACCCATCCAATCCCCTTTCACACAGACCAACAAACACCGTATGCTGTACTATGCAGCAACTTTTGCATGCCAACCAAACTTTGGTTTGATCAATCACGCCATACGCCTTTGTTTTGACCAGCTGAGTCCTGTTATTTCCATGATTGGTACAGTTGAAATCATGGCTTGCGGGATAGTTGTCGTTTTCGCAAAGTAAATATGCGGATAAAGGGTGTCTGAAATAACACGCCGTTGATTTTTGAATCAAGCCGATTGGCAACTGAGAAAAGTTTTCGTCAATGCCCCCTACATCCCCCAAAATCGAATTTTCACTATTCATGGGCCAGCTCGGTTCATGTCCCCTGTGAATAGCAGTGGTCCACTGTACACTTTTAAAAAATTCTGACTAAGCAGAAGCTCAACCAAGAGAATAGGAGGAAGAGCTGTCAAGTGTTGTTGGCTTTGTAAAAATGTCTTGGAAGATTTGTGTTTGTCAGGATCAAGGATATTCCAAGGGTGAGTTTTTAATGACAACTTCACACACCGCATACCGAAATGTCTCGGGCACCAAAGAGGACATTTAGAGCACATTTTGGGAAGACAATGAATGAACTCTACACCGCATGGACTTGACTAAAAACCTTCAATTTTCAGGACTGAATTGTAATCAAATCAAATTAACTGGCGAAACAAATGAAACAATTTCATCACCAGTTGTAAAAATGGCAGACACATAAGACGAAATCATTTTGGCTCACCTTGTAAGACTTATACAGTTTACAGTCTTTCTGTTGAGTTTTACAAGTTTTTTTTTTTTTTGCTTCTTTGTCTTGGGTATTATAGGGATTTACGTTCATGTACAGTATATATACTGCATATATCAATGCTTTTCCATATATTGGCTGATATAACAGATCTCTGGCCCCATTGGTCGCGCTCTAATTGCCACTCTTTCTAGTGCCTTTTCCATACCCTCTATGACTATTTTTCAAAAACCTGACCAGCAACCCCATTGTCTAATTAGGGCTGCAACTCATGAATATTTCAATAATCAATTAATCTGTTAATCATTTTGGTGATTAATTGATTGAACAAATTTTATTAAATGCTTTGAGTTTGAAGCCATTACAGTAAATATTCTCTGGTAAGGAATCATATTTGCGCTGTCCAATGCTTCCTTATAACAAAATTTCCTTATGTGGGAAATGAGCATGGTACATGTCCTTTATGAACATGCAAGTATGTGAACAAAATGCATGTGTAACAACACAAGCAATGAAATGCACAAATATATGCTCCAAACACCGTTTATAACACAAAAGCTGCAGTATACTGTACAGGTATACGAACAAAATACAGTATAACAAACTTAGGACTATTTGCTCTAAAATGAGACGAGTAACAGACCTGGTGGCTTTTCTTTACACTCACTCACTGTCTCTAACTCAACCTCCCCTCGGATCTCCAGCCAAGACAGCATTGCTCAGCTGATGTCATGCAATGAACTTTTAAAGCCAGCCAGGCGGCGCTTCGAAGTCCTAGTAAATTCTCCAGATGTCACCTTAACATTAAAGATTGGGGTTGACAAATTCCAGCCTTTTCTTAACTTACCTGTGCAGCTTTTTCATCGGACGTGCTGGTCGCCTCTGAGGTATCTTTAACAAAGTAGTTGGCGACAATATCGTTCTGTTTGTAGTCCTGGTGGCACACTGAGCATCGCATAACATTTACTGAGGACAGAAGACAGAATAAAAGAATGAGATTCAAGTCAACTGGGTTTAGAAAGGCTTGTTATTTGGAAAGTTGTGTGAATTTCTTGGGAGGAAAATAGAAGGAAAAAAAAAAAACAGCAAACGGTATTCAAGGATTACGAAGCCAGATAATAATGCTTGTAAACTACTTAAAAGCTTTGCTCAGTATTCGACTTTTTTATTATAATTGGCTTAAAAGAAATATTTCTGTCGGGCCATCACAGACTTGGAAGCTTGAGTTTGAGTCATGGAAGTTTGAGTGACGCTTCAATCTTGGTATGCTCGGGTTGCGTTAAAAGGTAATTACCGGTAGATCTTCCATCCCAAATCGCTTCAGTTGCTCAATCAGGATCGTTAATTACAGTAATCAAATTGCAAATTACACCAGCATGCGAATAATTTCGTTAGGATGTTGAACTACCACTTATTTTACACACATGATTTTAAACGTCACGAGATGTTTTGAAAGTAAAAGCCAATAAACAGGTGCTTGATCCGCCATTTTAGCCAACAACTAGAGTGAGGTGGTTTGAGCCAGCCAGAACCGGTTTGAGCAGCTCACAGCCAGTTTATGGAAGTGCCATCTGCTCGGATCCCTGAATGATTGAGCGCTAAGTGTGTGCACGCGCACACACACAAAATTATTCTAAATTGAACAGGACCAGAAAACCTCTGCTGCTTACTGAAATCACACCTACATTTCATTGAAACCTTATACAGTATTAAACAGGATTAATACAAATAACACCAATTTGAGAGAAATTAACATGTTACAGCAGCAGGTAAGAGAACAAGAATTACATATCGTCATCTGTCTATTTAATGCTTTGACCTGTTTAACATGATGCAATTCTCAGTGTTTTACTGCATACATGAATTGTAGCAACTAAAAAAAAACATGCCTCATACCACCATGTTTGTAACAAGCATTTGCATTGGCTGCCGGGACTGTTCACCAAAAAAGGGAATTTCCTCTTTCGACAATCCTTCCTCCATTCACTTATGAGCCTTTCACACTGCCCATAAAAGCAAGCATTTCACTGGTTATTTTTCCAGGTCATAAATTGAGAGGCACCGATACTCAATCGGGTGTGGAATTGACCCAGAAATGTTTTCATTCCCTACATCGTACCACGAGAACGACAGAGACAACACACAGCTTGTGTGTGTTAGATTTGACTTCTTTGGCACACAAGTAGACATGGGGTGAATTCAGTCAGAACATTTCAAGCCTTAGTGATCAAAAAGCCACAACCAAAGTGTGGTGTTTATCATCTGAGACTAAGGCAGTTGTGTCAAATGGCTGGAATGGATGGAGCGTTTTTTTTTCCAGCCGACCAACACGAGAACTCTATAGTAGGCACACAGCACACATCCTAGGGGAGAAGTCAGGTCCAGTTCTCTTTTTGACACTTAAGCATCCTCTTGACAGTTTCTAGATGAATCTTATTTATTATTATTCCAAAAGAAAACCAGACCTGGCACGAGAGGAACTGAATGTAAGCCGCTGATTTCTAACCTGGCAAGACCCAGATTGATGAGTGAATCACCCTCAAAGCAGTTCTCCACAGTATCAGTCTGGGACTGCTCCAATTGGATCTGCTCAGGAAAGGCAGTGGGCCGATTGGGCAAATTCGTCAACTAGTGCACCCCTACCAATTTTTTTTTGTTTTGTTTTGTTTTTTGGACAAGAGTGTAAATGACATGTACTGTAATTTGAATCTTTTGAAATTACATTTTACAGACGGAAAAAACACTTTTTCCACACTGAACAAATTTGCAGTTTAAACTGTGTGACAGATAAGCGCATATAGCTCTGTGTCAGTTTAATTAATGCTGGCTTGTTGTTTAGTGCAGCCGCCAATCGGGTTCACACTAGCGGTCACTTAATGATTGCCATTACCTGCATTTAGGTACAACTTGTAAATGAAAGGGAATGTGTTCATTTCAATCTGTGGAGCATTATAAAAACAGATTATATGGGCATTTGTATTGAAAGGCTTTAGTCGCATTATAGAGTGACAGTTGTAACAATTCATTTTGTTTTCTTTATTTTTGTAAAATGGGATTTATTTTAAGCCTGGGCGATATGGCTAATAATGTATCATATGTATTTCATTAATTCATTCATTTTCCGATCCGCTTTATCCTCACAAGGGTGGCGGGGGGTTAAGTATTTCATATCAAACCATTTTTAAATGTTTTTTAAACCTATTTAAAACACTAATGACCCAAGTGAATCTCAATTGTCTACCCAGCTTCTGCCTGAAAAAAAAAGTCTGAGCCTCAAATGGCTTGTCGCATTCCTTCCAGATTTTTTTCTGCTGATTTTAGGAAACACATTTTCTATTGAAACTGATCATGTTTCTATCATCATCATTGACAGAACAGGATTACTCACTTGTTGTACATACAATGTGTTTAAGCTATGTGTTCTCTGATATGTAACATATTGAACTGTGCAAACATTTTGGTTGGTGATCTGATCACACTGACCATTATCTGCCATTACCCTTCTGAAGTAAAGCACTTCTTTGGCAAAGAAAAGTGCCTACCTTTCCTGAATTTCATAATTGTTATAAACATTTCGCAAGTAAAGGAAATGTTTTTTTTTTTGTTTTGTTTTGTTTCACTTAGTGTAGAGCATTTACCCCACAAAGTCGAGAACGACAAATAGTCAACAGGATCTGGGCTATATGATTTAGAATGGTGTCGCGTAAAAAAGCTTTTACACAGTGTTTCTTGTTGCACTTGGGCATGAGGAATATGAGCATATAACGAGGTTCCCGTGAAGAATAAAAATGCAACAGTGCCAAACATTGTGATTTCGCACTAGTTTGAGGTTACACATGTGTGTTATGGATCTGGCGTTGGAGAAGTCGAGAGCCTCGGAATCGGGCGGTTGAGTGGCTAGCCATTAGCTCAGCAAAAGCCTGGCTGGACAGCCTCGCTTTTGTTTACATTCATCCGCCAACTATGCCACCTGAAAACACCCGACAACAATCACACCATCTCATCCAGGTTGGTGAAAGTGCTGTGGAAAGTCGCTAGAACAAGTCAATTTATACTGTGATCCAATGTCAATTAAGTCAACGCAGTTACAGTATCCATTAGCGAAGGTAAACTTACAGATAAAAAGATATGGCAGAGCGCAGTCGTCACCACACTTCGGTGTCCGAGCCCTTCGGCGTCCACCCAAAACTGCTGGCTCAGGGTGACCGCTGAATGAGCCCGAGCTGCAGCTCCCATTCATGTGAATGGGACCCAGCCAGTGGTACGTACGCTCGCAGAAATTTTTACCCCAGGATCTATTCGTTTTCATAAATGTTTCTGAGGGTCAAGGAGACTTCGGCCTCACAAGGGTCGCGGGGGGTGCTGGAGCCTATCCCAGCTGTCTTCAGGCAGTAGGCGGGGGACACCCTGACCCGGGTGCCAGCCAATCGCAGGGCACACAGCGACGAACAACCATCCATGGTCACTCTCACACCTAGGGACAATTTAGAGTGTTCAATCAGCCTGCCGTGCATGTTTTTGGAATGTGGGAGGAAACCGGAGTACCCGGAGAAAACCCACACAGGTACGGGGAGAACATGCAAAACACCACACAGGAAGGCCGGAGCCGGGATCGAACCCACAACCTCTGCAGTGTGAGGTAGACGTGCTAGCCACTGGACCACCAGGCCGCCCCAGGAGTATATTGATGGGTAAATTAATATTTGGGAGCTGAGGTTCAGTGTTTAAAACCACTATAGTTTGTTTTACAGTTTATATTTTTAAATGAAGAAAATGTTTAAAATCTTTTCAGTCAATATTTGTCTCAGGTTGTTTGAGTTTATTTAATTTGCTTCATTTAATGTAAACATACTTTATATTGTTTAACTGTGAACATTCGAACGTTTGAGATACTTGACGCACAGAATGTTGACAAGACCACTTGTCTGAGATTGTAAGTTTATTTTACTTGGCTGGAGACTACAAAGTAAAAACATGTTGTATCTATGTTCACTTCTTGTAATGTGACCAAAGTACAGCGCGTAAAGGTCCAGGCTGTTGACTTGACATGTTATCTAATATTGAGAGTTTTGATAGAATGTATTTATTTTGGTGAAATGTTTCCTTTTGTTTAAAAATGATGCTGTTTGAAGTGCAGGATAAACCTCCCATTGTCAGTTTTAAGTGCAACAAATACTGAAGTTTATGTACAATTACCTGGCCATTCAAATCATTTCAAACGTCTTTTGAAAACTGCTTGGAAAAAAATTCCAAATTTCAGATAAAGCAATTTTTTTAGAATGGAAAAAATACTTATTTTGCCTGGCAACTAAGCACTGTACTTTTAATTCATTACCAAGTCAGTTACTTATTTTTTAAGCAAGTAATGAGTAACTATAACTTGTTACTTTTGTAAAGTAATATTCCAAGCACTGTTTGAGTGTGTTGCTCAGCTTTACTTTTCTTTGATGGAAAACAAGCATCTGCGAATTGCGCTTCATGGCGATCATTTTTGGCAAATCTTAGGGGTTTTTTTTTTGTTTGTTTGTTTTTTTAACCAATATCATTCTTGTCAAACCCAGGATCATTTCCAGGCAAGGGAAGTAGACTCGTCCATATTTGAAAAAAAATTGTTCCCTCGGATGCTACAACTGAGTCATGTGACTCAATCCTGCCCGGTGATTTGCAAAATGAGGATTTCTCACTTCCGCATTGTTTGCTGAGGGTGCATTTTTATCACTTCTTCCTAGTTTGCATCCAATCAATGGACCCGTTTTTGTAGATGTCTCTTTTGAAAAGCGGATTAATACTCGATCGATCGAAGTCCAAGATGGCGCCCGAGTAGGCAGCCGTCGGCAAGTGCTCTCATGAGCCTTGGTTTTTTTTGTTGTTTTTGTGTTTGTTTTGTCACTTTGTGTTTGTTGTTGCATCGTGTGGACCGGATGTGGATTGTTTTTCAGCATTTTTTGGCCACGACATTCATCAAGAAGGAGACTCGGTGCTTGGTGGTTGCACCTTCTCGGCAGCATGGGTATACCAGCACTGTTTTTGATTGGGAGGAATGCCGGTGCCATTTGACTGTCATTGCTGGACAGCTCTGGGGCGCTTGTGTTTTTTGGGCCTGTAATGGGCAGCATTTTACACAGCCCCGCTTTGTTCAGCGGAGAGATCGGTGCTGTTGGACGGTCTGCGGCTGGATGGATGCAAGGCTTGAGGAGCCGACGATGAGAGGAAAGGAGAGTCAGCGCAGAGCGCCGATGCGAATGTGGAACTGGGAGTCGCGGCTTGGAGTTGAAGCGGATTACGTGGACAGGAGATGTGAGCCAATCTCTTTTCGTCAATGGACACTACAGCTTCATGTTTGCTTTCAAAACTTAGCTTGTAGCAGACGTGTGCACATTTTGAGCATGACGTCTCTGATCCACTGGTGAAAGGACACTGACCCTCTCCTCTTTCATCTATAACTGCTTCAAACAACAAAGTGTATGCAGGAAAAGTGATTAAGATTGCACGACTGTCTTATATGTCGTGTTATTTTGTGAGTTTGACTTCAAGATGGTGCCGCGAGAGTGGCTGCCTTTCAAGCAGCTCCTATATTTTGTTCTTCTACTTCTTCCTTTCATAACTTTGCTGCTGTAATTTGGGAATTTCTCCATTGCGAGACTAATAAAGAATTTCTTATCATGTAAAATTGCATAGAGTGAAAGCAAGTTTGATGATAGATAGATAGATAGATAGATAGATAGATAGATAGATAGATAGATAGATTTCTCACCCACCCCTAGTTAGAGTTCACAAAGGTAAGTAACAGTTCGCCAATTAATCAGTTAGGCCCTAAAAATTTGTAATGGGACCTGGTCGGCCAGCATCAGTGAACTTCGGGTCACGTGGTGGCCCCGGGCCACCATTGATGTCAAACAATGTAATTACAGTCACATAATGCTAATTCGAAAAGTACCTTTATTTTGAGGAATGGTTGCATGACAACTATTATTTCATGTATTATTTTTAAATGTCAAACCATCGATGCCCATGTATATATTTGGAGGCTTTTATTTTGACGTGTCCTAACGATATACGCACTTGTTGCCACACTTCTGTGATCAAAGCTTCCATGACACGCATGATAACAACGAGTGATGTGCAGTCAACACTACTATGCGTCAAAGCAGCAACCGGCTCCACTTCGCGTGCGGCGTAATTAATGAGAAAACTCACCAATATGTGTGTTGGTTTGCCCGTGCGGTCCAGTCACCTGCACGCTGATTTGCCTGTCTGGTTGCGGAATACATTTCAGGCAAAACGAGTGCAAGCAAGGTAGAAGTTTTGGTTCGCTTTCTCGGCTCTGAAGACTTTGTTTACACACTGCGCACGTATCCAGTAAATTAATGGGAGTCTGTGCTGGTGCGGCTGCCGGGGCCGTGGGTGGTGGGGACATTTCTGAGGTGAGTCCGCTGACTGCTGCATCACCGGCGGCCGGGGCTTCGGCGGGACTCGGCTCAGCGTTAGTTGGGCTGGCATCCATCGGGCTAGCAGCGCTCCTGCCGCTAACATTGCTGATGCTAACCTCACCGCCTCCTTCACCGGTGACTGCAGTCGCCTCGTGAGCGGGAACAAGCGACTCGGTCTCTTCCGCCTCCTTCGTTTCACCTTCTATGACCGCAGACGCAGGTTCGGTTTGGGTCTCCGCCTGCACGTTGTCTTGAGCCAAAGGAGGAGGCTCTGGGTTTGGTGACGGTTCCATATCATCGACGCCTTTGTTATCCGCCATCTTCCTTCCTCTTTGAACCGCTTGGACGTCCTACGTGACTTGCCAAACCACTACTACGTCCGTGCGTCATGACGTTAGAGCTGTTGCCTCGCGAGCTTCCGTTTTTCTGACGCTCGTAATCAATGTATGACATTTTAAATCGACACACGCTGACATTACGTATCGCATCATTTTAACGTCATGTCACCTACATCATGCTCGCAGTATCATGACGCCAAATCAGAACACCTTTGAATTGTATTATCTCAGTAACACGCGGTGACGAATCTGCAAATTACACTCGTGCAGTGCCCCCCATTTCCACGAGAGGGCACAGTTTTCTTGTTAATACCAGCGCCGTACACAAAACGAGCCTGATCTAAATCGACAAATATGTAAAAAATAATTCGTATCCATAACTACAGCCATAAATGTTTACATTAATCTACAAATGTGCGACTCAAAGTCACAAATGTGTAACGAAAATTTACAAATGTGTGAATGAAGTTAAAAATGTGTAACGAGAACCTACAAATTAGTGACTGGAGTCACAAATGTGTAACCAGAATATACAAACGTGTGCCTGAAGTCAGAAATGCGTAACATAAATTTGCACATGTATATATTGATTTTAAATACATTGTTAAATGTGTACATAAATCTACAGTATAAGCGTATTAGATGTAAACACAAAGCCTCTTGATTGGCTGTATCCTCCACATGTGACTATTGCTTCGGTCTGGCATACCCGACTCACAAATGCGTGCGGCGATTTGCAAATTCGTGTCTGGAGACGTGTGAGGCTCCGTAGCTTCATATTCCCACCACTGTTCACCAGCATGGCCACGAAAGACCGAACCATTTACTGTAAGGTGATTGAATACATCGTAGAGCACATGAAAAGTGATTAAATCACTGCTGCATCATTGCCCGCGTGTGTAACAAAACAAATATAATCACAATCCAATTATTCATACGCAGCAACAAGTGGACGCGATTTTCCTTCTTTTAATTGATTTTACAGGTATTTTGCATTATTCTAGATGTTTCCATTGAGAATTAGGGTAACTAAAGAAGAAAGGTTGAAATAACAATACAACTGGATGGATGGAAAGGACTTGGGCACGATGGACGATCACATTCTCCAGTACCGAGGTTGGGGGTTTGAATCTGGGATTGGTCGTTCGTGTGGAGTTTGCATGTTCTCCCCATGCTTGCACATGCTTCCTCCTCCGCTCCAAAAGCATGCGTGCAAGGTCCAATTAAGACTGTGAAGGTGTGGATACCTGTTTGTAGTTGCTCCCCCACCTGAGACCAATCCTTTGGAGTTGAATTCATTTGAGACAGTGTTGTCCTTTCCTACGTTGGAGAGGAAGCACCTTTTCATTGGTCCTTGGCATGATGATTTAACTTTCCCTAACACAGACGACAGCGGAGTGAAAGAGAGAAGGGAAATGGAATACCTGTACACTATACAATATACTAAAGGGAAGAAGCACTGCTGCGTGATCGGATTAGATTTCCATGTATCTATCCCAATGATACGGATTGAAATTGAATAGGACGGATATGTTTATATCGTTTACGTGTACAGTATCAGTGCGTGTGTGTGCGTGTGTGTGTGTGTTTCCCGTCACTTGTGTCGTGAAAATGCTGCCAGCATAACCTTCTATGTTCCTTTGCGTATCCTGTGCAGTAGGTGGCGGCATGCACCGCCAGTAAATGAAAAGACGCTGACGAAGAAGAAGGAACCGGAAATATTAAGACGTCAAAAAATTGGCGCAGTTCAACAAGATACTTATTGCTAATTGAACAGTTTTGTCTAGATTATCATGTCTGGGACTGCCTCAGTTGCGGGTGAAGTGTTTGTTGATGCATTACCTTATTTTGACCAAGGTTACGATGCCGCCGGTGTCAGAGAAGCTGTGAGTAAAGTCTGGTGTATTGTAAACGAAGAGCAATTATGAGCATGTGCTAAACTGAGCATGTGCTAAGGTAGCTATTATTCGAGTTTCATTAATGTACTGCATAGCTTTTGATCCTGTCAAGCAGTTAAATATGATGAGTTATCCAACCGGCGACTGCAGCAACATCCCAGTGCTGCATGCAAATCATCAGATCGAGGTGATCAAGGGGATTCTACTTTACGTCATATGTAATAATAAGATAAGAAAACCTTTATTTGTCTCACAAATGGGAAAATTCCCAATTTATAGTCACGGAAACCCCGTTTTTAACCAACCATTGTGCGATTTTCTGAGAGGAGCTCAAACACACTTCGCGTTCACACAAAAATCGGGTCACGAGTCATGGCGGAACCGGGTCTGTTGTCGCATACTAAACTCAATTTTATTTAACAATATTGTTTTAGTTTAATTTTATTTAACAATATTGTTTTAGTTAAATGAAACAGATAACTGATATTTATGATAGAATTACTTTAAAATTTTAGTATATTGTGCAAAGACATTTAAAAGAATACATTAATCACATAAAAAAACTGTAAACACCATCCAACACTAACACAAAAGCCATAGAATTAAAATATACCTACAGTATATGATAGGACCGAACCATGTGACCTCAAAATTAAATCTCCATGTGCTTTCCCACAAAAATCGGATACCTGATTGTAATGGCTGTATTTTTTTTTTAGCATAGAGAAAAAGTGAATCTCTTGAATTAAATCAGTATTGCTTTGCCCCAAAAGCCATTATTCAAAATGAGTATGGTTTTGGCCCCCAACTTCCCATCTTCCATTACCTTTCACGCAGAAGAAACATGTATGTTTTTTTTTTTTTAAAGAGAATCCGTAACTGCTTTTCTAATGGAGAATAGCATATCAGTGAGGCAAGGTGACCATTTGCAGCTTGGAAGCACATACCCGGGTCAAAATTTTCAAACATGCTGATGAATTACTGTTTTTGTAACGTACAAATTAGCATCACTTCTTGGAAATTGAAATGTTCAGCATTATTGAAATGATGATTTATTGACTTCCGCCGGGTTCCTTTCTTGCCATACACAAAATAATAGCAGGAACGGACTCTATGCACTCAGCACTAATTCTTTCAGTGTAAAGTAGAATATATACGCAATGACAATTATGGGAAACATGTTGAAAACTCAAAACCAAGTTGACATTTAACATAGCGGCACACTGCACTGTTGGCTGGAGGAGCTATCTCCTTCAAAAATTCTGAACTTCTCATACCACTTCGACCACAAAAAGTTCAGACTACAGAATATACTGTGCTTATTACACAAACCCGTTTTACCACACTTTTCATTCAGTCAGATGGCATCCCGGTAGCTTAGAACTTTTTGAAAAATAGAAATGTTGCATAAGACGCTTAAAATAGTGACAACACTGACTACTTTTTTTAAACCGGCTCCTTTGTTCCTGAGAATATTCTCATTCAGGGAATTTCCCCAATGTGGACATCAAAGTCCAATAAAGGCAGTGGACACGTGTCACCGATAGGGTCTTTTCCTTTAAATGTGTTCAGAGCCCTAGCTGCTCTGTTCACAGCCATGTTTTGTAAGCAATGTACATCAAACTGAGCATGCAACAAAACAAAACAAAAATCATCCAGACAGATAAACTTGAATCAATCAATAAATCAATTCATCACCCAACCTTAATTTAATCCAAAATGTGATTTGTGTGTTTCTCAGGCTGCAGCATTAGTAGAGGAGGAGACCAGAAGATACAGACCAACCAAGAACTACCTGAGCTACCTGCCAACTCCTGACTTTTCTGCTTTTGAGGTGACAAAACACCCTCGGTCCCGAAAATCATCTTTAGAGCTTCCGCAGTGCCAAAAATACAAACCTGGCCTTTCCTCGTGCTCTAGACTGAAATTATGAAGAATGAATTTGATCGCCTTGCAGCACGACAACCAATGGACCTCCTGAGCATGAAGAGGTAAGTTTTGCACTATTGTGGTAAAAAAAAAAAAAAAATGCTTACTCTGATAAACAATACCTGAATTAAATTTTTGAAGACAAGATAACCTTCGCCGTTTTTTTTTTTTTTTTTTTTTTTAATCTTTGCCAAGAGGTTAAACTATCAACATGGTGACAAAGCAGTATACCCATATATCTGGCCAATAGGAGGACTCTTACATTCCAAAATTAGTCGCTGTAGTTTACTGGTGCGATGGTGCAATTAACAGAAGCTGCTATACAAAGTTCCGTGGTGTGACGCCGTTGTCCCGGTAAAATAAAGCAGCCCAGTAGACCTACCGATGTGATGGCCATGTTGGGAGGGGCAACTTTCATCAGAAGTAATGGCAAGCATGGGCATTAGCTTCACTCAAAAGGATCATCTCGTATCTACCTATTTATATTTATGGTTTTGTTTCATGGAGCGAGATCTCATGTAGTACATGTACAGTTCTCTCAGACATGCTATTTTTTGGTATAGTACACAGTTGTTGTTTTTTTTTTTTTTTTGTCAAGGTCTTATAAATGGCATCAAATCCCAAGGTGAAAAAAGGTAGTGAGCTAATATTGCACCTCATTAACATGAGCAGCTGCATGCCATATCCCCCCTCCAGCAAGGTAACAATTTTTTAAAACAATTTGAAGCATTCATGTGCATATATTTACCATAATTATGTACCGCACTGGGTGTTTTTAGGCCACAAATGAAATAGCAATCATTTTGTACTGGATTTGGTGTTTTGAGGCCATTAAAAAAAAGGGCTGCCCACGATTTTCGCAGACAGAATTTCTAGCTGAAGTATTGAAATATTTCAACCACTGTTCCCATTACTTAGACCAGCATAAGCAGAAGAAAACATTCATAGACTTTTCATCAAGTGATGTCGTCATTCCTCTGAAGGTATGAGCTGCCAGCGCCCTCTTCAGGTCAAAAGAATGACATTACAGCTTGGCAGGAGTGTGTGAACAACTCCATGGCCCAGTTAGAGCACCAGGCCGTTCGTATCGAGAACCTGGAGCTTATGTCACAGTACGGAACCAACGCTTGGAAAGTCTACAACGAGTACGTGAGGGTAACTGCTTCCTGTTGAAAAATTTGGGCTTCAATTTAACCAGGACTTTTCTCATTTTTCCTCCTGCAGTAACCTGGCCTTCATGATCGAGATGGCTCAAAAGGAACTGCAGAAATTCAGGTGAGGCCACCTAAAAAGATCTCTCTGGTGAAGATAAATGAACACGTATGTGTTTATCAGTTCATGTAACTTCTGTCACGCAGGAAACAAATTCAAGATTTGAATTGGCAGCGTAAAAATGACCAGTTAGCCGGAGGAGCCAAACTGCGAGAACTGGAGTCAAAGTATGTGACAAGCTGCACGTCTTTCATTGAATTGTATTAGTTTATATTCAGTTGGCTAAGTTTTGGTGCATCTTCTCCTCCCAACAGTTGGGTATCACTGGTCAGCAAGAACTACGAGATCGAGCGGGCCATCGTACATCTAGAAAACGAAATCGGTCAGCTCAGACAGCAGCAGGGCGATGAGAACAAGGAAAACATTAGGCAGGATTTCTGACTTCTTCCTACAATGACCTACAAAACTTTCTCATTCTTTGTCAGATGCGTCCCTTTTTTGTATTTTTTATTTTTATTTTTTTTTAAACAATGACAAAATAAAGTCAAAATGGAGGAAAGCCAACATTTGGAAAGGTGAGTCTTTGAGAACAGACTGAGGAGGGACCTTCACGATGCTGGATGACTTCCTATTTTCAGCCAAGAGCAGATTTGAAGTATGACGCTGGACCTGATTGATTGTTTCTCGTCACTTTGTCTTTTATCAGCAGCGCTCTTCATCAGCTCAATTTTTTGGTGCATTTTAATAAAGTCAACATTTATTTCCTAAAGTGGCATTTTTAATTCTATTATCCAAAACTTTTGTTTGGTTACCTTTGTTATTTTAAGTAAATGACATTTGTCTACTGTTTAATCTGAAGACACAGATAATTTAAACAATTATCCATGGTAGGAAACAAATATCAATATGCAACACTGAATATCTATAACTCCGTGAGCGTTTACATTTTCAACTGGTCACTTCTTCAACATTCCTAGGAAATCACAACATCCGATCACTGGAGATCCATTTTTAGAACGTTTGAATGTAAGTCAGTCGTCTTAGATTCCATTTTCCTGACATTCCAAATTGTGTCGATGTATTTGACCTGAACCAGACTCCACTTGCTATTCTTGGTCAATCTTCTGTGCTGGTGGCAAATTAGATTAGCTGAGTGGGGCGACAAGGTTTAACGTCACCTCCCAGTCCAATGACTCTTATCTCCAATGACACGAAACTGGCATGGTTCCTCTAAGAGTCGATACTTTCTAATTAGGTAATGTTTCCGGAATAATGGGATAAGTGAGTTATGCTGTTTCATCTCAAGGGGGTTCCATATCGTCCGTTCCATTACACTTGACAACCATGCAGTTACAACACCGCAGTCACCACAACCCCAATTTTGGGTTTGTGGGCATAATGCAATTAAAAAAAAATTTTTTTAAAAAAAGCAGATTTTAAAATGCCCAATATAATATTAAAGATTAGTTTGATCATTGCATCAATATATTTTCATAATTTTAGTAACATCCTGATTGAAGAAAGGTAATTATGAAAATGAAAACATTGATGACTACCGGTAATTTCTTTTAGAGCCAAAGGCACTGCATGGTCAACCGCATGTCTACTTTGTGTGAACATGCGAGTTACTATACCTTAAATTATTCAGTGCAGCCATTAGGGCCCAATAAAGAAAATATTCTAAATTGTTTCCATGCATAATGCAGAATTGTAATGTGGCTGTCCTTAGAAATGGAAAAAAAAACCCCACTGCATTTTGCCATTCAGCTCCTTTTTGAGAACAAGTTGTGCACAAAGTAGAGAAACATTTTCAGGTTGAGAAAGGTCAAATTAAGGTCGCCTGTAAAGGTTGTGAATTTTATGTTCATTCTAACATAAAATTCGTGGCAATGATGAAAAGCTGTGTGCCCATCACTGGTTTAAGGTCTCATCTTGCAAATGTTATATGACCAAACGCAGATTACAGGTGAGTTGTGACAGTCGTTACCCTAGCCCGAGGCACTGTGATGTCAACAGCAGGTGGCAAAATGGCCACCCCGATGAAAACAGGTGGATTTTTCTGCTTAATACAAATTGCACAAACACAATGTCATGTTTAGACTGGTGCTGGCACATAAAATATACTACTGTAAAGGATTTTTTTTTTTTTTTTACTTGATTTCCCCATTCCACAAACACAATGTCATGTTTAGACTGGTGCTGGCACATAAAATATACTACTGTAAAGGATTTTTTTTTTTTTTACTTGATTTCCCCATTAACACACACCCTATCTCTAAAAATGCCAGTGTCGCGTTAATAAAGGGCAAACACTCTTGGGTCTACACCCTCCCTTTATTTTTTTCAACATTTGGCAACCATTTGGTAATGCTCAGTTGTGTTGCTGTGAACTTGGATAACAAAATAAGATAGTATAAATTAATAATGTATGACATTATAGATTATATAGAATATATAGTCTGCATTTTGAGTACTTGTGACAAGGAGCATCACCATTTGTGGTCCGACTCTTGCTTTTTACTCTTTTGCTCAGATGAAACAAACAATGATCCAGAGAATCAAAATAAAGTCAGTCTGGCAGATTAAGCCCCCAAAATCCTTCATTAAATAATCGTGTGTTAACTGTAACCACACACCTGCGCGCACACAAACGCTAACAAAATCAGGCATTGAACTTGACGAAAACACAAGGAACTCTCAAAAATAAGGTCTCTCCTGGTGTGTCTTTTCCGATGCTCCCTCCACGTGTGCAGGCACCCTTAACGTTTGTCGAAAAGTCACCCACTGGGACTCTGTATCAAATTTGATTGTGCAAATCCTTGTGGAAAAACATCTTTCACCAGCAGTTTTTTTTTTTTGGTCCATGTGACAGTCTCATATACTGAGTGTGTTTAAAGCTGGTATCAAAGTGACAGCCTCTGGTAGATTCTTGTTCTGGTCCACTCTGTTGTTGAGGACTTTGAGTCGATTTCGGTCCTCTTGATGTTTTTTCTTCTTTTGTTTTTTCTCCTCTTTTTTCTGCTTGTTGGGCACCTGACAATGACAGACAACACTCTGGTCAATCGTTTTTAAGTCAGTAATGTTCGTCTTATAGTACAGTGGAAGTAGCTGGCAATACAGCCTGCCGCACGCACGCACGCACGCACGCACGCACGCACGCACGCACGCACGCACACACACACACACACACACACACACACACACACACCAAGACCTCAAGCCAAGGACTTGAAAATCCCAATGTCAAGTCAATATACAGCAATACATCATGTCAAATAATAATAGTGTTCCCTCACACTTAACTGACAGGACTAAAAAATATTTCATACATGTTTCTCTGACCTCCTTTTCATAAATGTATTCTTGTTTAAACCTGTTTACCATGAACTTAGTTCATTGGACCTCCATCTCTTGGATCCAGATTGTGGCCAGCAAGACAGTATGTTTTCTTCAATACTTACCAAAACTTGTACGCAAGGTTTGTTTAATAAACTATTGTTTCTTCATTAGGTTTATTTACGGCGAAACTGTCTAAATTGTTAGGCAGTTCTCTTGAATGTTCTTCTTTGATGATGAAATATATAGTGTTTATAGTGTTTAAAAGCCCCCCCCCCCCAAAAAAAAAAATCACTATTTGTTAAAAATGTCAGGATGACCTTTCAGTAGAATAAGATTAAAATGATTTGTGGGGAAAAAGAAAAGTCTGCTTTCTCTGGTCCATCTTGTGACTCTAAATTGATGTGCAAGAAAACGACCGCACCTGATGGGGAAAAACAACTAATCAGAGACAGAGGGTGCGGCTCACCATGTGTCAATCATTTCTCGTGCACTCGCAAGCACACCCTTGTTTGCTCACGCTGACCTGTTATAGCTTCAGCTGCGGCTAATGGTGGCTTGTTTACAGTCCTCATGCTAAGGCTGCTATTTTCCTGAATATGTTTCCGGCCATTTCTCAATTTCAAGAACGCAGAATACGGTCTGTCTGGTGAACTTGCAAAGTATGGTCTTCCTAAGAACGCTAGTTGCTCCGTAATTGGAACGGCTGTGTACTTATGAACTTTGCGCACCCCATGATTTTTTTTTTTTTTTTTTTGTAAAGACTTTGTCCCTAAATGTTTACAAAAACAAAAATATTGGGTTTGTCGCAGACTGAGCTGTCTTCGGTGTTAACATGTGCCCCTACCAATTTATGGTGGCTGCATTCGGGTGGAACAGGTTCTCCTCATCAACTGAAGAAGACACTAATGTTCCTGGTATTGTAGAACAGACTTCATCAAAAGTGTTTACTCAGTATTTCTTGCATCTTTCTCATTCCTAATGGTTGTCCGTCATTTGCAAATGTTCTTTGCAGCCAACGAGACAAACATCAAACATAATCTCTCTGACCCTGCATTCCTCGGTTCTCGATGGAGGCTAGTATCACATTGCTGGATTCTAGGGATGTTGGTGAAGGTTTTTCTTGTCTGCCTCTCTGACCATCCCCGAATTTCCACTGCTGGCGCTGCAAGTTCTGCGAGCAGCATAAATAAAACAACATCAGCACCATACTGATTAATTTGGCTCTACACATTTTTAACACCTTGGATGATATTTAGAATTCGGAACACCTCACACGACGGGGGTTGGGTATAATCGCCATGTGTGCTTCGTATTCTGAACGTGAGTGATTCGCTCGATATGGCCAGCACACATAGTGATATTTCCTCCGACAATCGTGAGTCACCTGCCGAAAAACAGGTGTCGGGGTTCAGTACCAAGACTGAGGGACTATGGTGCAACAGGGCATCCAGACTCAGGGAGGAAAAAAACTGATGCAAGGCTTTGTATAAGGGAGGCAGTGTGTGCACGCTGTGTTTGGGTGTGTAATATTAATCGCGGTACACTTAAATCCCAGCGTCCAATATATACCTGAATGCGTAGCCGACCACGGCTCTCTGAGTTGTCGCCGATGCGCCTCACACTGTCGTAATGATCCCCGTAGCGGTACGCAATGTGTAGTTCTCTACACATCTGCTTCTCGGTACCATTTATCTGACAGCCCAAAAAAAAAAAAACATGAACCGAAATAGTTAAGATAGTCTTGACATTACATATGGTTGTTTCTGTGAAAAAAAAAAAAAGTAAATAAATAAAGTCATGGCCTCACCTCCCAAAGTGGTGTGTTCAGCTGATGGATGACCACTTTCACCTGCTGACTGCGAGCAAAAGCCACGATTGCGTCATTGCCTGCAAATGTTCCAGGCTGTGCCAGGTTGGATACTATGCATAAAAGGAACAAATGTGTAGATATACATTTTGTCTTTTCATATCACGCATATCACGTAAGGTTTGGGATCCAAAATTGGCTGTGGGTTAGTTTTTATTGAGTTGCCGATCAAAGCAAACACACTGCAAAAGCCATTTTCATGATCATCACAGAGACACTGACTGACTTTCAAAAGGCTTTGTTGCAATAATGATGATGCTTATTGCAATAATTTATTTTGTCTTCTGTATCATGATAACGTTAGGTTGACGTGATCTATTTTAGTGATCTTTTTGTGTCTCAGAGAGGAACAAAATGTCTACCTTCGGTGTTATACCATGTCTACCTTACAGTTAAAGGTTCTGTGTGTTTTCTTTTGGAGTTCCTTTTGTGCTTCGGTGGATTTTCCCACATGAGTACTCCAACTTCCTCCCACATTCCAAAAGACACATGCGCATCGGTCTGAATGTGAGTATGAATAACTGTTTGTCTCTATGTGCACTGCGATTCACTGGAGAAGTTCAGGGTGTACCCCTCTTGCTGGGTCTTGAGCATCCTGAGTTTGGGAAACCCTGACTGAACATCAAATGCAACAATGTTAACGATGGGGTCATATTCTTACAGTGCTCTGTGAAGGGAATATCATCCTCAACAAAAGGTTCGAAGTCTTGTCGATGGGACATCATGTACTGGACAGTCTCCTGACGTAGCTCCAGATGAGATCGTGAGTGACCCTCTAACTGGTCTCCGAGAGCTCTGAATAAGCAGTTCCTGCAGGCAACATTTTGACAAAGTAAGAAATAGAAAAGTACAGATGCAGAGGTAATCAATACACAATTGTATTCATCGTGATTTTAACTTCAATCACAAAACAATCGGGATTTTTCCATAAGCATCCAGCCCTAATTTCTGAACGATTTCTGGAGGGAAAGATGATTTTGAGATGTGGTCGTTTTGAGTGACAAGTGTGGTCAACCAACAAATTAAACTCATATGTCAAGACAGCACTCTGTTTTCAGATGCAGGGATTAGAAATAAAATGTAGTCAGACAAATGAATTTAAAAAAGTTCAAATACTTGAGAAACCTACTGATAAAGAACTTCCTGCCACTGGTGGTCAGACAGAGCTGGAGATGATGCGGTGAAGGAACACAGAGCCACCCCCCGCCCCCCCAACATCCCCCCGACCCACACCTCTGGTGTCCTTGAGTAAGACAGATACCCTGAACTGCACCCAGAGTGTTAAATCACACCATATTCCAGTGTGTGCGACAATTCGTGTATGTTCGTTCAATATGGTGATGGGAATTTAACACATCACAAGAATGAATAGGAAGAGGAACATGTTCATAACAATAAAGATAATTCTTTCTCTTTTAAATATTCAGTGACTTACCCATCACCGGGGACCTCTCTCAGCTTCAGCCCCATTGCCTGCAGCTGAGTGGAGAAACTCAGAAACTCTGCTCCTTCATCGTCATCCTGAGGATGATTCTTACGGGCCTTGGCGAGGGCCCTACGTGCTGCCCGCTCGTCTCTCTTACGTTCCAGTTCATTCTTCTTGTTGCTCCGTGAAAGCTTGGCTGTGTGTTTTGTAGACATGTTACGTGACAGCCCTGCAAAACCAGTCACAGAATTACAGAAATCAAGGTGAGGCAACAAGCAATGAAAACAAACTGATTGCTGAGACTAACCCCAAACAAATGACATTAATCTCTATAACGTAATGAATTTTAGTTTGTACTTGATGCTTAAAAAAACTTTCAGTGTAAAAAAACAACTGATATAAGAAAAGGAAATCATAAAAATACAAGATTAAAATGATTAAAAAATGTGAAATATCGAAAGAACCATACATCAAAAGAAAATAATACAACAACCATAAAAGTGACTAGAATTCAAAAGAATTCCTTCCAGCTATATTCATGCGGTGAGGTGGTTTGCTTCCATTTATTTCTTGAGTATGACAAGAAACGGAAGCAATTTGTTGAAAGGACTAAATACAATTCTAATTACCTCAATAGTAATCTTTTTCAACAAACATCACAATTATTTAAGTAACACGGACATTTCGTTCAATAACTATAACGCCACAGGGGTTGATTGTAATAGAAAATTGATAATGTTGGTGAAAGTCATGTGTTCAATCGTATCATCTTTCACATCTATGCTAGCAGCTAGCACATGACAGCTCGTTATTACGTAAAAAAATCACCGTAAAGCCACCTTACTCCGAAAGGCGGACAAATGGAGGTTCAAACACAGTTTGTAAGTGTTGTAACTTACTTTAACTCGATTAAGTTGAAAAGTGCGTTTGAGTTCAGAGTAATATGATTGTCCTGCTACGTCACTCCAAATGGTTGTTTGCTTCCGCATACGTCACCCGGAAGTAGTGCAAATCCGAAACTCCTTCACTGCAAGGTAAAATAAATAAATAGTAAGACTGTCGTCAAATTCAACAAAACTCCAATTGATGTAACTTTGTCATCAGTACAATTGGCTAATTACAATTTCCTCTTTTGTTATATCCGATGTGATATTAATATTCAAATTGCAGACACTGACTCAAAAAGGACACACCAGTCAGTGTTTTAAGCAGGGGTAAAAAAAAAAAAAAAAAGCATTCCACTTGCTGCTGTTCTCAGCTCTTCGCAAAGCTACTCGTCATCTTTTCCTGATGACTCCACACAGTTGGAGAATGTGATGTGGAGGAGGCGTGGGATGAGAAGCAGTACACTGAATGTTTGCTAAATCAAATTCCCAGTGAGACAAGAGCATAAAAAATGCATCAGTAGAAGGATGCAGTACATACCTGTACAACTACACACGTAAGTGAGTGTTCTAAAGGAGCATTGCTTGGAAGCAGCTGTCATGGCTTCAAAGCTACCCATACATGTGCTGCAATCAGCAGTGGCCACCTGAGTGGAACAGAAGAGATGTCAGCCATGTGGGCAACTCATCGTTACATTTGTCCGTATACATGCTGCATGAGTGAGCCTTGAAATAACAGCTTGAAAGCTTGAGAGGTTTATATATCATGAACGTGACTGTATAGCACATAAAATCTCATTTTACAGGCCTCTCCAGTGAGTAAAGTCAAAACAGTGGATAGATTTGACTGTTGATATATGACAATAAATGACACAAAAAGACTTGAAACTTACAGCTATCGCGGGGTGGAATTTGTTTCAGGACAGTCTAAAGCAATGTTAATGATAATGTAAAAAAGCTTTATGTTGGCGACCCCTGCTCTGTATGATATGAATTGCGAGGGTGACCATTTTTTGGCGAACTGTACTCTGCCTCTCACCCAAAGTCAGCTTAGGTAGATTCCAGCTGGCGTAATGCACAGATGAATCATAGTGTTTCTCAAAACACTTCACATTTTTACTATGTTGTTGATTTTTTTTTTTCTGAAAATGCACATCTCCCTTCCATACCCATTAAAACAGGGAGAGAAAGTTCAGCCAAATAAGTTAACAACTTTCGGATGAGTGTTATATATGCCTTGAAAAGGCAGGTGCCTGGTGTGGTGGCACGTGCCACATGTCTCGGTGTGAGCTGTGGGTGACAGCAGCTTCTGCTGTTCTTTCAGCATTCAATAAATGTCTTAATAGTGCATTGACAACTGTAGCTCTCCCAGCATTGAATTTTCTTACGCAGTTGACCCCTCCGATTCACAAGGGATAAGGACCAGCCCGTGAATAATGAAAATCCTTGTATAATCGGCGACCACTGATTTCTTTTTTTTTGGGGGGGGGGCGCCCCACACACACACACACACACACACACGCACACACACACACACACACACACACACACACACACACACACACACACACTCACACACACACATGCTGTCTCCCCCCCAGTATAAAGTATAATTGCCCATCCATGACAGTAGGTGGCAGTGGCATTCAATTGTCTTTATCTCAGTCAAATTGATGCACTTCATATATACATACATACATATTCATAATAATACATTTACAGTATTCTTTGTTGAAAGTTCATTTACTTCCCTTTCTTTTTTTCTTTAACATTAATAAGGATACAAAGTCATGCAGAGGTGTACTTCTAAAAATTTTAGAGAAGAACGATACTATTTATAGTCCCGGCAGAGAGCCGGGGGCGCGCAATGCTTTGTTCTTCCTTGGTGGGCGCAACGGAAAATAATTGAGACGCACTGCGCTAAGGACAACTGCAAAAACCTAAATTGTGCATGCCATTTAATTGTGCAGGTGTACCTAATAAAATGTCCTGTGTGTGTAGCGAAGCATTAACCCAGCCCTCCTCTACCCCTCCCTCCCCTCCACGCCGCCCACCATGCAGTGGTGTGCGCGCCCCGTCGTTGGAGTGGTTGCTGGTCTTGGTCTGAGCCGCTACTGCTGGTGGATCGAGGATGGGTTAGTCGTCATGTGCGTGTGGCTCCGGGCATCAGTACAGCTTGATTCGGTCCTGGACTCAGGGCACAGCGTGAGTCTAACCAGCTCGCAGAATTTGGCCATCTCCATGTCGACCGAGAGGGGAGTCGTCAGTGCACATTTTTGACGCATCCATCCGGGGGAAAGTCACCGTTTTGGCCCCATGGAGGACAGACTTTGCCGGTACTGAGGCGGAATATCCCGGGCGGAGGGAGAACGGAAAGCGAGGCATCCCTTTTTGCCAGGATACCTTTTCATTTTTGTCCATTTGATTTTTCAAGATGGATTGAGAAAAGATCGGATCTTTTTGCATTCTTAATTAGGAGACAGCCGCTGAGCCCCATCCGAGACACCGGGGAGGGGGTGTCGTTGGACGGCGAGGGCCCACTGCTGCTTCCCGTGGAACGGAGGAGGACACCGGAGGAGTAAGACAGGGAGGGAGGGGTACCCCGGGTAGTCTACATCGGGAGCCAGGGGCTGTGCGGCGGCTCCATGAGGAGGGAGAGCCCTGCAGAGCCCAGCCGGAGTAGAGAGAGAGAGAGGACCAGTGGTGGGCCAGTTTGGAAGTTTGGATGCATATGATCACAACCACCATGATTTTTATGATTCTGGGTGCTTCAGTTGTAATGGTAAGACACACACCCGACACATGCCCCCCACGCATGGTAGAGGGGTTCTACTAATTCGAGTTGAATCAAACGCAACCTTCCAGACGCTCAATTTAAGTTTGCTTGCCTTTATAATCACCTTCCTTCATAAATAAATAATCAAGTTTCATCCATGCCTCCTCCTTCTTCTCCCCATCCTCCTCCTGCTCATCTTAGAATCTGGATGGTCTTCTCTCTCTTTATAACCTCTCCTCGCGAGGGATATTTTTGTCTTGTGCTTTTTTTTTTTGTGAGAGAATATAGATCCCCCTTTCTAAAATTTTGCTCGTCATGTCCCAGCTGACAGGCATGTGTGTTTTCAGGCGATCGCCTGTTTAATGGACATGAACGCACTACTAGATCGCTTTCACAACTACATCCTGCCACATCTACGAGGGGAGGACCGCGTCTGTCACTGCAACTGTGGAAGGTAATAAACGCCGTCGTGTGCGGGCGTGTGTGTGTGGGCGTGTGCGTGTGTGTGTGCGTGTGCGTGTGTGTGTGTGTGTGTGTGTGTGTGTGTGTGTGTGTGTGTGCGCGCGCGCTCGCGATGCTCTTCTTTTCATGCTTTACCCGTTGATTTGTTATGGGGAGGCCCGGGGTGGGGGGCGGGGAGTGGTGGGGGAGCTCCGCAAAGCTGTCTGCTGCCTCCGTTTATTCCAACACAGAAGATATGCACTGGTGGTCGAGGCGTGTTTTGCATGCGTCGACTGTATACGCCTTTGCTGCATGCAGCCTTGCCAAGGTGTGTGTCGGAGGCGCAATAAAAAGGTGATGGAGTGTGAGCTTCAAGTGCACATGCACTCGATACGGGCATCAAAAAATGAAAGCTGGCTACGATAAAAGGGTGGTGGATGAGGTTGAAGATGTGGTAAGAGAGAGTGTAATGTTGAGTGTTGGCGGGGTTAGCAGCAGCAGAAGCAGCAATCAACTCATCCATGTATTCATTAATGTGCAGTAGAATGCATTTCTATTAACTGGAAGGGTGTCAGATACTGCAGGGCAGACATTGTCCTCTTTTCTGGACTGTTGCATCCATTCACACTGAAATTTACATTAAAAACAGCAGGCTGCATACACAGTATAGTTGCCACAGGATTAGGTACACTTTTGAACATAAGTGCTGTATTGAAAAAAAATCTGCCTTAGCAGACAAAATAATACTTTTAATATAACAGCATCTTTACAAAGGGGATTGCAGGTATTTTGACCTCACTCCAGGTAAGTCACTTGTATTTATGTAGCACTTTTCTGATTTACTGATAGAATAGTCATGCATACAATTCAGAATTTTACATTTTACAGTTAAAGGGTGAGTTTGTATTTTTTTAAAAACTCGCTTTTTGCCATGTTTTTAAAACAGTCATTGTTACCCGATTAGTTTGTAGTCGTAGTAGTAATCGTTGTTTTTGTTTTCTTTTCATGACTTCATTTGAGGTGATGAATGTTGTGTTGACCTGTCAGTGAGTGTGTTTGTGGAAATGGATTTGACTTGTAAAAAAGGGTATTGACTTGATAAGCTGTGGTTTCAGCCTACGCCACAGGTGTCAAACTCCGGTCCTCGAGGGCTGCTATCCTGCATTTCTTACATAGATCCCTCCTGCAACATACTCTATTCAAATGATTAGTAAGAGTTTGCTGATGGTGGTATCTTTTATAATATAGTGGAGGGGCAAAGAGCCCAAGAGAGGCCAGGGATCCTTTTTTTTTAAAGATGATATTCATTATGTACTACAGCAAACTTTAATGACTGTTTTTGCAAAATGACAAAAGTGCTATTTTTTTAAAATAGCAAAATCTCCTTTTAGCACAAGAAAAAACACAAATGTAACATATAAAAATAAATACCACCTCCCCAAAGAAGCCCAAAACATTAAAAACAATCTTGTATTACTGAAATGTTTGCCAAAACAAATGTGTTTTTAACTACTTTTTAATCATTTCCAATTGTCTTTACTCAAAAAAGAAGGGTGTTCCATAATTTGGGGGCAACGGACTGCCAGCCTCTAGTACCTTTAGTTTTTAATTTTCTGCAAGCTCCTTAAGTGCTTTGTAAAAGGCAGAGTGCAGTCACTGAACAAGACAACAGTCACTGAACAAGACAATAAAAAGAAAGACGATCCTAAAATGAGCTATGGTGCAAGGATGACAGGACAGGAGTGACGTGGCTGAACCTATTAATCAAAAGTATTAATGTAACTATGTGCTTATTATCGAGGTTGCAGCCTGTGTAGAACAGGACTGCATGATAACAAAGCCGTTCCTCATATTTCGACCCTCTGTAGGAAAACAAAGTGGCCCAAGTTTTACAACTTCCCTCAGAAAATTTGAGGTACGAATCACAGAGTAACTCTGTCCAATTTCTATTGTGCTTATCCCTATTTGGGGTCGCAGCCTCGCCCAGCTGCTTGGGTGAATACACCCTGGATTGGTTGGCAGCACGTCGCAGGGCACAAATAGACGAACAACAATCCACTCGCACAATCAAACCTATATATGGACAATTCCAAGTCAACAATTAACATCACATGTTTTGGAATGCCAGTGGAAGCTGCCATTTTAGAGAATACAGTAAATTCTCTAAGGTTGAACACAATTTGACTTGGCTTCAGCAACATTTTTTTTTTACCCCATAAAAAATAAGGGAAGTAAAAATAAACCATTAAAATGTTGCCATCATAAAACATTATTTACTGAGCAATATTTTCAGCATTATTTTAAATTTCTAACGGTCACACACATGTACAAATGGTTAAACCCTTTTGGTTAGTAAGATATCAAGGCGGTTAAACACTCAGGGCTCTATTTTTATGAATGGCATAAATGTGGCGTGACACACAGCGTAACTCTGCACAGAGGCAGGTTAGACCCAGTGTTGGTAATTTCACAGTCAAAAGCAGGCCAAAAGATCTCAGAGAGGGAGGCCTGCAATGCTGTGGTAATGGTTTCAGCTCTCTTCAATCACGTTCAATCAAAGCGGTTCCTTTCATTCTTTTTTAAAGTGGCTCACTAGTCACTAGTCGGGCGTTAGAATCTTAACATGGCGGACAGCACATCTGCACCGTGAAGTGGGCAGTTGGAGACTGCCCAACATCGATCAATCATGTGCCCTCCCTCAAAACTGTGCTGGACAGTAAGATGATATATATTTATATATATATATTTTTTAATTGATCATATATGGCGTGTGTACCTGTTATTGTGGCCAGTGAGTGTGTTGCTCCTTGTCGGTCATTGTTTACATCACTCGAGTATGCATACGAATGCCCGCCCCATCGATATTCGGTCAGTTTGTCTGGCGCGTGACTTGTGCAGACGTGGGCTGGTCCACCTGAGGAGTGTGGACGTGTCACGGTGCTCACACGACTCACCTTGTCAGCCTGGAGGGGGCAGTCAGTGTCACTTTATTTGGCAACCGCAATCGCTCTGCTGTTCGATGAAGCCTGGCATACGTCAGCTGGCTGTTTGTTTGTTTCTTTGATTTTTCTTTTAATTCACCTGTTCACATTTTAAGGCATTTTAACAATCTTCCTTCATCTCTTACAAAATATACATATTGGAAAAGGTTTGATTAAGAGCTTGCAAATATCGCAAAAACCTGCAATTTGAACGTGGTTGTGAATACTCTTTTATCCACTGTAACTATGCTAAGCAAGTATTCTTCCAACATGAATGACAGATTTGTTGCAAAAATTATTAAACACATTACAAAATATATGGATCAGCATGTTTAATGCAAATATTGTCTTGCTACATGTTGTGGATTGAATGGATAATTAATGATGTTCGATTTTATAGGGATTCAAATGAAGCTTGTTTGGAATACTGTGCTTGTACTATCACATTTATCTTCATATTAGAATACTGCATGCCAAGACGCATTGTCTAATACCATTCGGTGTGCGCTTGACTGGTGTTAAACTGAATGACAATGAAGCTTCTTGTTTGCCAAACCCGATGAAGATGTGTTTTGGTGTGAATGGAATTTGGTGGCTCTGATTTCCAGGATTAGATTTCCAATTAAAATGGGAATCAACAGCATGCAAATCGGAGCTGAAGACATGATCAAACGTTGAAAGCGAGAGCCACACATGAAACAATCAGGAAGAACAAACTATCAAAGGCTCAAAGGAATTTGACCAAATAGAACAAGACTCGAGTGACTGTGTTAGAAGAAAGAAACCTGCAGTGACAGAAAGGGACGACACATCTGTGAGAGCATGAGGGATTACAGGGAGGTCACAAGAAAAGTTTCAAATTTAGATAGTAGGTAGTTAAGTTCAGGAGTCAGCACAGTGGTAGGGTAGTTTGTATGTCTTCCTCACAGTCACAGAAGTTTTTTGGGGGCGCTCCTGTGGAGAATTTTTTCCATGGTATGGGGACAACATAGAGTAAATTTAGGTACCTTATCATGAAGATTTTTAATTTTCAATAGCTTTGATGCCAGTATAAGCTTTTTTTTGGTCATTGAATTAAGAAGTGGTCAAGAGGTTCTGGGTTTGAATCTCAGCTCTTGTGAGGTTCATTGAGTGTCATGTTCTTTTTGCTTGTGTTTGAGTCCCAGCTCGAGCGGCGGGCGTTTACCTTCAGCGGCGCACCTGTCTCGCATCATGATTATACCACTACTTAAGTACTGTCATTCCGACCACTCAGCATCACATACTGTAATTCGCTTTCTTCAAGCCATTGTTCCAAGTGCCATATTCTCGCTGTTCCATGATTTTGCCTTGTTTTTTTTTTTTTTTTTGTTTTGTTTTGTTTTTTTTTGGGCCACGTTTTTGTATCGATTCATGCAAGTAGTGTTTTTGGTTCTTACTTTTATTCACGGTTTGTACCATACACGTTTTGGGGTCCTCTTGTCCTTTCGAGACAAGCTATTTCAGTTTATATTCTCCTTGCCTTTTGCAAGCACTTTTTGTTCTTTTCATTTTATCCTGGTTCATTGTACCAGCGTCATCATTTGTAGTTTGTCGGCCTCACGCCTTTTTCTGTAAATAAATATTTTTGGTCAAAACCTTTATCTGAGTCTACGTTTGTAGAGTCAGATTCTGTCCGGAAAACTTCCGGACATCCTGACAATTGAGGATGCTGGTCCATAGGTGTGAATGGGAGTGTAAATGGTTGAAAACAAGCACTGTAGAAAATTGGATGGCTAAGACAGTAGTAACACGTTATTATAATTTTATGGGCTACACTATTAATGACATAATACACCCTGTATTATGTCATTAATAGTGTAGTGGTTCTGCTGATTAAGTGATGGTGTGAATATGAATGTGAATCATTGTCTGTATGTGCCCTGTGATTGACTGGCGGCCATCTGGGGTGTAGTCTGCCTCTTGCTAAGGTAGGATAGGCTGCAAATAGTACAGAAAATGGATGGATGTATATTGATGGCATTAATATAATTACATTTTCGAGGGTGAAAAGCTTTCTACAGATAACATTGGTGCTAATTTATTGCTAACAGCATGTATGTGTCCTATTGAAGTGACTAACTTACTGGAAAACTCATAACATTAGTACAGACTTAAAGCGGAAGTCAAATCAAAAATGTTATTGAGAGTAATATGTTCTAAGCACCCCTACTAGTCTAAACACAGTATTGTGATTGATATTGTATTTGTGGAAGAAGCAGAATAACCCATGCGTTTTAATCCATTCGGGGGGGTGGCCATTTTGTCCTGTACTGCCATTTGTTGTCAACTGAAAACGACACTACAATGCCTAAGGGCTCAGGTTACGAACGTCACTTGACCAGACCCAGAAAACAGGTGTGCCGTGAAAGTCATGGAAGTGGCCGTACAAGACAAAATGTCCGCTCCCTGAGATCGATAAAAATGGTTGTAAAATATTTTATGTGACTTCCCCTTTAAGCCTTACAAGGCTTTTGAACAGACCTGTACATAGCACACAGTAGATCTAACAGGCATCCCTCTTTTCCGACAGGCATCATGTCCACTATGTCATTCCGTACGATGGGGACCATTCCCTGGTGGACTCCTCAGAGAACTACTTTGTCAGTGACAGTGTGACCAAGCAGGAGATGGACTTGATGCTGGGCCTTCTGCTGGGCTTCTGCATCAGCTGGCTCTTGCTGTGGCTGGACGGCATCCTGCACTGCGCCGTCAGGGCCTGGAGGTCGAGCCGCTACTACGGTAAGATGCCCTTTGGTCCTGGATCCACTCGGCTCTCACTGCAGACAGTGTGACGTTTGATACTTTGACATGGTGAATATGGAGGTTGAAGACGAGTCATTCTGTGCAGCTGTTTTGAGGAAATAATGAAAATAGAAATCATTTGCTCCAGCCTTCATTAACTGTACAAGCATTTTGACAAGTGTATAAATGATTTAACCACTGTTAGTAAAACATGTAAACAATAAAGCTGTCGGTCGTAAATGGCAATTTATCTTAAAGACGCTGAAAACGGAACATACTGGCACCGTTAAACTGTTTTTCACCATTTTTGTTTTCCTATTTTTTGTGGGCGTGGTCCCACTTTGGCATTTAGCATGAATCAACCCCTTCACACCCCCAATATAAAAAGTGCATGCACCTTAATTAGCATCAGCAGTTGTCCGGCGCACTTGCGATATATGTACAATATTATTACCCGGCCCTTTTCTGCCAGTGTGGAGTTAGCTAGCGTTGTCAACACCTCAAAAATGTACCTTCCCTGGATGCCTCAATTTACTGAACTAAACTTCACAGAGTGCACCTACTTTGCTGGTGTTCACACCTTAGCCTGACGGTGACAGTAATGTGACAGAGGGAGCCCTTGATTCAGTCAATTGAGTCGATATTGTTATTTGTTCTATATGTATGTGTTACTGCCATTTTTATGCTAACGCAACAGTTGCTTGATGGTTTAAAATGACCGTAATAGGGATGCTAATATCCATTAGCCCGTTAGTCTCAGGTGTTTCCCCTTGAATGTGAGCATTAAGCTAAAGATGGGAAATATTGTCATGGCTTGGGCCAATGCAGTCCCAACATTTTTCTGTAAAGGTAACCTGCATCTCTCATCATCTCAAGATGAACAATGAGCAACATGTCAGACTTGATGTTTCCTTTTCTCAAAGGATCAAGTCGATACCAAAACAAAATTTGGGCGCACAGATGTCGAGAAAATGGACATTTTATCTCGCTGATGATTATCTGCTGTCAAAACAATTGATCATTCATCTGAGCAACCTTGTCAGTTCAAATATTGCTCAAGTGGCACTTTGTGAGCTGTAAATTCTCCGTGGTGCACATTTTGACGCTTCTTTCAGAGCTTTATTAAACTCTATGTCAGTGACCTGTACATCTTATGAGATGAAATGTAAAATACATTAATGCATGAGTGACAAGAGGGTAGAAGTAGGAGCACTGTAGGATCCAATTTCTGTTTCTCAAAAGTCAAATTTCCATCCATCCATTTTCTCAAGTGTGTATCCTGGAGTCCATCCCAGCTGAGTTTGGGTGAAAGGTAGACGAAACTGGACTGGATGTTAGTCAAACACAGGGCACAAATAGAGACAGACAGTCATTCACACTCCTTTTCAGGCCGTCACTGAGTGCAAAATGAACCTACACAGCACACTAAAGTCAGGCGAGTGAAGCCCTTTACTATCAGTGACAGTTCAGTACCCACAGTACTAATTATTTGACTCCAGTGTAACCCTTCGTTCTTTTTTTAGTTTCAGAAAGTACACAGATGTAAATACAAGTCATGCTTCTGGTATTGTTCAGGCTAGCAAAGAGGGCCTTTCTGGCCCTGCACCACCAATTTTTGTTACCCGCCTTCGTATATTTATATGGCCTAACGGTGACCCCAGTCCCACAATCTGCATCATCATCAACATCACCATCTTTTCACGCCATATGCTTGGATCGAATTAAGCATATCTGTGCCTTTATTTTCCTTTTTCCCTGATAGTTGCTCAATATGTTCTCTGATTACACAATAGCCACTGAGCTGGATAATACAACATCCACAACATTCTTACGTTGGAACCACCATCTGCTTTTGTATCTAAATATGGAATGTTTTCAGTCGTTTGGCACAAATTGGCAGGGGAAAAAAAACATCCATGATGACAGAACATTCTGTGCAAGCTGGGGCTTCAGTCCCTCGGTTTTTTTTAATTAACAGAAATGTTGGTGATGCTGATTAACCTCAAACTTTTGGGGATTTCAAATTGGGTTTTTTTCTATAGGAAAGAATGAAAATAGAAATATTCTATTCCAGGGACAACTGTTCCCATTATAAAGTCTTTGTTTACTGTACACACAGTTGTACTGTACAGTTGATAAAAGCAAGTAACAATTGAATTTAGTTGTGAAATAATTTGTGCATTCTACTTTTTAACATTTTACTATTCTTAGGGTAGAGTCAAATACATAAAGGCAGCATGCACATTTGCCTGAGAGTTCTGAGGTTACATTTGGGCAGATTTTTTGCTTTCCTTTGCAAGGGAAACCTTGAAATACTGTATAAGCTGTGTACGCTGGCAGTGAACTCAATTCAACTCACTTTACAATAAGTATTACTTTGGCTTCAAGATGTTTCATGACATTCTCAGTGGAATTCAACTGTCACATTAGAATTAAAAAAAAAAAAAAAGAATTACAGGTTGTTTATTTCTAAAACAACCTACTTTTGCTTCATGGAAACGCTGTGTAGCCAAATGCTCACAAACAATTCGAAACACCATTGACATGCTAAGAGTTAGCATCGATATCGGTTTAGAAGCAACGCATTTGACCACAACACATTTTGAAAGTTTAATAATACCGCTTGGCATATATTCTTTATTCTCGACAAAAAGTGACTAATCTTACAGTATCTTACTGGGTCACTTACAATAGTAGTAGAAAAACAACCCTGTTCTTCTTTGTGACTGCATGGATGTACAGGAAGCTATTATACTGCCTCCCCCTGGCGGGCACACTCTGAGGAGCAGCTTAATGGAATGTAGCATTAAATCTTGAGGCACAATTTGTTTAATCTTTTACATTCTATTTAATGATGTTACTACACTATGTTTATATCAAGTATATTATACAGAGAGCTATTTCAGACACAAAAATGTTGGGTTTTTAGGGGGGTGTAGGCTGGGATGGATTACTTTCCATTTTCATTCATTTCAATGGAGGAAGATGATTTGATGTTTTGATTTACTAGTGTGGTCACTGAATGACTTAAACGCGTAGCTCAAGCAGTTAGAATAGTTTTGGATTTTTCATGATAGGTTTTTTTATTCTTTTCATTTTGATGTGTAATAAAGTAAAGGGAACTAAAATCCCCAGAAGACTCTTTGACCTTTTCCTGTATGGACGTACAGCAACACCGAAATAAATACTTGTTCAAGCTCACATATGATATTAATAGACAAAAACTAAAACTAAGGCCATTTTAACTATAGTTATAACTTTTGTTTGATTTATAAAGCATAAGTTAATTTTTGTTTTTTAAAAGATATGAAAATGTTTTTTGAATTTTAGTGTTGGTTATTTTGTTAGTTTTCGTAAACTATAACAACAAGATTGAATAGCAGTTCTATTCATTCTTGTCCATTCAACCACATAGAAGGACAAAAAAGTGAAAAAATAAAATACCCATTATACACTGCATGCATTTAATGTTGATACGAGATAGTTATTATACTTTGTAATACAAAATGTTAGGATACTCAGAGTCACCTATGAGTGTCGGATACAACATTCAGTGCATTAGTGGACAGAAATGCAAAAGCACTCAAAAAGTGGAAGCATCCGCAGAGGATGACAAATTTTTTTTTTTTTTTCATTTTGTGCAGGTTGGGAATGCCCCCTGTGTGTGTGTGCGTGCGTGCGTGCGTGTGTGCGTGCGTGCGTGTGTAAGTGCGTGCGTGCGTGCGCGTGTGTGTGTGTGTGTGTGTGTGTGTGTGTGTGTGTGTGTGTGTGTGTGTGTGTGTGTGAGGTGGCAAGAGGCTCAGGATGAAGGTGCTGTCACGTCTCCACCCCCACTTACACACCGCTCTCTCCTCCACCCGTTCTAAAAATAGATTGAGAGTGAGTGAACAGCTGGAATGGCAAGTGAGGAAGATGCACACACACAGATGTGTGCACAAACACATGAGGATGTTGTGATTGCCTCTCCACCTCATTTTTTATATGATGGTTCATGTTCTATAAATATAATATCATTGGCAAGAAGGAAACAAAAAACAAGACAACAAAAGTTAAGTACCTGCCCTCAACTTAAAAACATAAAAAATTAATAAAATACAATCTATTTTCCAGGCCATGCATTGTCATCTCCACGCTTCTATTCAAATGAGAGACCTGTCTTTGCTTGCCCCCCTTTTCCTTTGGATACCCTTCAGAACAGTCCTTGTGGACAGCATGGCCCATTCGAAGCTATAAATAACTCACCCCCCCCCCTACATCATGCACACACACCCCATCCTCGCTCAACTTCACCACCATGGCCGCCACTCCTCCTCCTCCTCCTCCCACTCATCCGTTAGCTGGGCCAATTGTGGTCTCGGCCCTTCCCTCCTCCTGTCTCCCAGGGCCTCGCCTCACCTCCTTCACTTTAAAACCTGAGTGATTGAAAAGTGAACATCTCTGCCCCACTCCTCACCACACACGCCCAAAATTCATCAGTGTTGGCCTCCAGGTGGCCAGTGGTCCACACCTACGTGGCTTTTATGTCATCAAATTGTCGATGTTGCGCAGAACTGCAGTTGAATGTTTTATACAATTTGAATTCTGAGATTCCTGTTTTTCACGTGTTACTACAGCTACTTTGGTGATGGGATTATGTCTTTTTTTTCTTCAATTTAGTGTCCTCTCTCCCTATAGACTGGCCTTAGATAATCACATAGTGTCATTCAGTTGAATAAATAAATGCCTCATCTCAAATGAACAGCTTTCCACTTGTCAGCTATAATTACGTGTGGTGCAATGAAAACCGATTTGAATGGGAAAATCGGTTTTGATGTGAGTGCATCGAATCAAAGCAAATCCACTTTGAATCGTATCGCACCCCATGTTTTGAGATACGTATTGAAAGGTCTTTTATTGGCAAGATTATCAAGATATTCACCCCTTGTGTGTATATATTCATTCAATTATTCATTTTCCGATCCGCTTTGTCCTCACAAGGGTTGCGGGGGGTGCTGGAGCCTATCCTAGCTGTCTTCCGGCAGTAGGCGGGGGACACACTGAACCGGTTGCCAGTCAATCGCAGGGCACACAGAGACGAACAACCATCCGCGCTCACACTCACACCTAGGGACAATTTTGAGTGTTCAATCAGCCTGCCATGTATGTTTTCGGAATGTGGGGGGAAACCGGAGTACCCGGAGAAAACCCACGCAGGCTCGGGGAGAACATGCAAACTCCACACAGGTCGGCCGGAATCAAACCCTCCACCTCTGCACTGTGAGGCTGGTGTGCTAATCAGTTGACCACTGTGCCGCCTAGTTGTACATTCACAGCTCATATCCTTCCCAAGAAGACAAAAAGTTCTCTTGACTGCTGGGCTGCAATATAATTTCAACCTTCATATCTATGATAGGATATCACAAGAAATAAATCCAGGACAGTGCACTCTGCCGGTGTGAGAAAGCTCCCTTGTACTTCCCAGAATTAAATGTTATTAGAGCGATGTAGAAGCTGGGGCTAAACGACCTCAGCCACTCCAGTCCAAAGTCTGTGCGAGTGCAATAAGTCATTTTTATGCTGCGCAAATGAGTGAAACTTTAATGCAAGCCATCCTGGGTCGTTTTGTGCAAGTAGCCCCTCCCAACGCACAAAAAGCTGCAAGGAAGATGTGCTTGGGAGTGGATTCAATTTTAAAACATTGATCATGTCATTTGTGTAGTTCACCAAATTGTCACTTCTGTAATCGGAACAATCTCGTGTTGTACCCAGACACACACACACACACACACACACACACACACACACACACACACACACACACACACACACGACAGCAGTGTAATCAGAGCATTATACCGTCTCGCATCTCTCTTCTTCAGATACGCCATCCTGGTCATGGCTGCCACAGTTCTGCAACCTTCGAGAGTTGCGTCGCAGGGCCCAGCTCCGACAGTTAGACGACTCAAGTGGCAACATGGTGCATATCAAGCAGAAGCTCTACCACAATGGCCACCCAAGCCCCCGTCATCTCTGACTCAACAGCAGAATCACAACCAACCAACCTGAGCGTGTCCGGCTGGAATCCTTCTTTCATCCGCCCCCAAATTTCACGGCACGTGGCCTCACAGGAATCCCCACGCACCCTGCATAACGTTACCCTCTGAAGAGCCCCAAGAGAATTTTCCGCAGTCCGAAGCAGGCCCCCCATCACCATCAGAGAAATGAAATTCCCAAATGAAGCAAGTTGGGTCCAACATTTTGGGAGCAGGGACAAAAACAAAACAAAAAAAAACATTTTTAAGGGTGTTTTTTTCTGTATAGAGACCTTTTCTGTGTTGATTGTTTAACTTGGCATGCTCTTTTAGAACAGGGTACGATGTGGGCAGTGTTTCCGTTTTTTATTTTGGGTGGGAGAGTTGTTGCTTTGGGGTGGGTGGGTGAATGCAACTCCTGGGTGGGTGGGTTTTTGTGATGTTAGATTGCTGCTTGTGTACATAGATATAAATATGGACTGGGGGGTTAAAAACAAAACAAAAAAAAGAGGAAGTGGGTTTGATAACTTGTTTATCGATAAGGATTGGCTTGTTGGTCCAAATTATAGCAGCAGAACAGGAAGATGAGTCTGTTTTAAAACTGGATGTGACACCATGTTAAATTCTGCCAAAAAAACAAAAACAAAAGAAACACAGATGAATTAGCTTTATCGTGAATTACCTGAATGTAGTATTTTTTTCCGTGTAAATATGTGAGGGAGAGGGAACGAAAAGGGTTGTGGTTTGGGTTCTCTTTGCTACATACAATTATCATTTCTGAGAATACACAGGAGGAGAACATGTGTGCTTCCTGTTTTCATGTACGTAGATCCCTTTTCATTTTTCTCACTTTTGTGTTGCCCGGCCAGTGGCCTCCTAGAATTCACAGAGCTCAAGCATAACTACCCAATGAAAAAGATAACACAAACTAAGGAAATTACTCCAAACACAGCACAATACGGATTATAGACCCTGTAAAGTGAATTCAGATATGTTTCTCAATACATTCTACAAGTTTAAAGACACAGCTGAAAACGTGCTAAGACTGACAATTAGCTAACACTCATTTGTGTATAGCGTGAAACTGTTTTTCACCTTTTAGGTTTTCCTGATTTTTGGCGGGGCATGAGTACAATGTAGCCTAGTCACACAATTTGGCATCAGGCATGAGTCTCTTCTCACCACTGAGAACGTCAATGCCTTCACTCACATCAGTGGCAATTGCATTACTGAGTTATTATTAGTTGGCTAAAGATTAGCTTATGAGCTAGCTGGTAGCTAGCGGCCTCTCATCGTGGTGTGGAAAGCTCTGTGACGACCCACCTGGGGACTATTCATATATTTTTGCGGCTCACACATGTAGATATGTGCCAGCATAAGCACAGTGTGATTTCACGCATTCTGCATACATGGCCACAGCGTTGTGGAGACAACAGCGAAGATGGAGACGACGGTTAACAACAATCTTCTCTGTCAAGCATTAAATCTACTAGACATATATATTTTTGCCCGGTGGTCAAGTGGTTAGCACGTCGACTTCACAGTGCAGAAGTACCGGGTTTGATTCCAGCTCCGGCATTCCTGTGTGGAGTTTGCATGTTCTCCCCAGGCCTGCGTGGATTTTCTCCTGGTACTCCGGTTTCCCCCCACATTCCAAAAACATGCATGGCTGGCTGATTGAACACTCGAAAATTGTCTGTAGGTGACAGTGAGAGTGCGGATGGTTGTTTATCTCTGTGTGCCCTGCGATTGGCTGGCAACCAGTTCAGGGTGTCCCCTGCCTACTGCCCGGAGACGGCTGGGATAGGCTCCAGCACCCTCTGCGACCCTTGTGAGGATAAAGTGGATCGGAAAATGGATGGATGGATATTTATTTTTACTTTACAGGGACCATAAGAGGTCAATTGGTCACGATGTACATTGTACTCTTAAAGGGGAAGTAAACCCCCAAGTTCTCTTTAGCGTAATATGTTCTATCCATCTCCACTAGTCGAAACATGGCATTCTGATTAATATTGCATTTGTGTGATATGAAGTAATCAGCAAAATCCACTCGTTTTAGCCATCTCGGGGGTGGCCATTTTCCCCACTTTATTTCAGCTGAAAATGACATCACAGTTGCTCTGGGCTCAGGTAACAACCAATCACGGCGCATCCGTTTTCTGAAGCTGAGCCATGATTGTTTGTTACCTGAGCCCTGAACAACTGTGATGTCATTTTCAGTCGACAGCAAGTGGAAAAAGAGCAACTCCCTGAGATGGACAAAAACGGATTTTACTGCTTAACTCATATTCCACAAACGCAATTCTAATCATCATGCTATGTTTACACTAATATGGCTACATAGAACTTATTATCGTAAAGAAAAATTTGGGGTTGATTTCCCCTTTAAGTAAACTCCACGCTAGAGGTGTCAACATTTATCGATTAATTGACAATAAATCCATTCTCAAATTAAACAACTATTTTAATAATTGAGTAACCATTTAGAGCCATTGTTTAACTTAAAATTGTCCAAATCCTCTGATTTCAGCCTCTCAACAGTAACTATTCTCTAATTTCCGTAGTCCTTCATGGAAGCAGTCTGATAATCTTTTCTTATATTCACAAGCATCTGCTTTTCCTTAATAATCAATAGATCAAGAATTCGATAGTGACAGCCCAACTCCACAGGTTATTGTTTGGGTCATATGACTTCTGCGCCACTGTAGACTTTATTACCACAACACACAACACCCTTACAGAAGGTAGTGTACTATGTCACATTCGTAAAGCTGTCGTTTATTATGGAGGATAAGGGAAAAGTCCGTTAAACGTTACAACGGTGACTCGAAATACTTAAAACACACAAATTTACTGTATGTAACTTCTCACCATCAGCCATGAAAGCGCAGGGAACCCTCACCAGATCCCCACTCGCCCACCCTCCTCCTGTCCAGACATTGCTGTTGTGAGGATGAAATGTCTGTTTTATTAAAAGTGCCATTGAAGCGCAGCAGTGACCTCTGATGTTTGATTGTGTCAGTACAACCACACTCAAAATTATGCGTGGGGTATGCGCTGCTGAGAATGAAATAGAAAGTAAATATTCATTTCACTTATTTTCACTGTATGACTACGGGGGAATGTGAAACAGAACTTTATCAGTGATAAAAAAAAAATTCAAGGAGAATAATTAAAATAAAAACAGCAAATGTTCTGGTACCACCAGCGAGTAAAAAAAAAAACTGTCTCAAAATTTAGGAGCAACTTACAACCCTTTTGGCGTAGTCTGGAGCCCTGATCTCGCAGTTTGACCTTATCATCAACAATGCATTGCTCAATGCCCACTGATCCTCCAATTTCTTTGTTTAAAAACCATTGCCCCCATAGGAAATAATAGTAACCTACTGTCAGGCAAAACTGTCACCACAATCCTGTTTAATTATTTGTATGAATAAATATATAAAGAAAATAATAATTCATCCTCACATAGATTTAAAAAACGTTTTAACATTCTTATGACAAAATTAAAAAAAATAAAAAATTCTTCATTTGATACCATTTAAAAAAAACATTCTTAATTTTCATGTACGTATAAGTATAAAATGTTGCTGCTTTCCTCACAAATTGTAACTTCCTCTGTACAGTGCATTATTCTCTACTCACTTTCGTCTCCGAACACATGTTGATGCTGCTCTTTCTTTTGGAAGAAGTGCTGCTCTTCTTATATCGCGACATCCCATGCAACCTCATCTATGACAACAATTTTTGGTTATTAAATATTTTTCCTGGAAAGTTTTGGACTCATCATGAATGTGACCTCGGTGGCATTTGAATTAATTACATAAGCTATTTACAATTTCTTTTCAACAATGCACAGCACTGTACACTAAGAAGATGAAGGTCACAGTGTATCAATGACATGTTCCTCCGCCCGCCAACATGGTTTCACCCAGCGTTCAAAAACTGCGACAGTGGTGCTTAGAAGTACATACAGCAGTTTCCAACACATCGTCGATGAAAGATAAGGAGGCCTGCTTCTCTTTCCTCTGTAGTCCTCCTGTGGAGAAAGTATAACACGGCTTGACAGGTTTGACATAGATTTACTCAGCCTGCAAATTTTTCCCACTTAGAAAGGAAGACACCGAACTTCCACTCCATAAAACACTCTTCCCTTCTAAGCGTAAAAGATGGCGATGACACAACCTGTCACCGATTCGACAGTCATTGTCACCATTTTGCTCAAGTTCAATTTGAACTGAAAGTTCACATTGCCTTTGTGGTTACGGTGGTTCCTTTTACGCTCAGCCTGAATGGGTGCAAAACTTCAGACTTCTGACATGAAACATTCACATTTAGTGGAACTTTGACATCATCAAGTTGCTATCGGCGTGACAAACACATTTGAATCAGGGACCTGTACAGGAGTCCGAAGTAGTTGCTGAAATAATTCCACATGATGGCAATCCGACGTTAATTTAGGGACTCGCAGGATGCCCCTACCTGACATCAAAGCTTTATGCTAGTGCATAAAGTGCATCTCCACCTTTTGTGTAGTATTGTTGCCTTGTGCAAATAATGGTATTCCGCCCCGGTCTGGTTTAGTTTGGTTTGGTTTGGTTTGATTTAACTTGACTTGACCCGACCGGACCATTTGGGTGCTAGTTGGATGGTCGGATAAGTCACCTCACCCACTTCAAGTGTTGGCAAGTCATGAGTCAACATGTCATGAACGATCATGATGTCACATCAAAACCAAACTTATCATCGCAAACTGAATAAAATACTAACTAGTTACGAAACCACTGATGATTGAAGAAATTATGTACACAGAACATGCCTTGACACACTACAGTATTTACGTTCTTATTGCCGCAAAGCATGCACGGAGTGCATTCAATTTCCCAGCGACGCTACATTATACAATACAATACAATACAATACAATACAATACAATACAATACAATACAATACATCCTGATTTATATAGCGCTTTCACAAGATTATATACGAAATGGTCATATATACTCACATAATTTAAATACACTGGGTATATATGCATTGTCATGTCCGTAGGCTTTGGTTACTAAAGTAACTGTACAGTCATACTGTACACAAAACTGACCTCGTCCACTGAGAGGCGTGGCATATACCTTCATTGCTATGGGACATATAATCATTTCTACCATTGGACGCTTTAGTTAACCGACTTGAAAAAAAAATCAAAAAATAACAAACGTGTATGTAAAAAAAAGTATTGTTTTTCTAATAAATGTACGTAGCGCCAAACAGCCATACGGTAGTCTGAAATAGCTGATGGTGATCACCTAGGCAACACTGGTGACGAGTTTGATTTTTTCAATGCGTCATTTCAATGCACCCTAACTGGGGCGGGGTTTAAGGTTACGTGTCTGTTCAGTTGAATCCGACAGTTTCACTCTCTTAGAGCAAAAATGTCGATACCTTGCGGCGCCTTGACCCGGAATGCTTTGGCAATCAGGAACTCTGGCATTTTGGTGGTAAGTCGACTTCAAGACCCCGTATTGACGTGTCTTTACTGGACACATGAACGTGTGAAGTTATATCATGGAAGCTCACATGGGATACAGTAGTTCCCGTTATCATGCGAGGCAATGTAATGTTATAGTTTATCATCATAATCAATTTTGCGTCGATATGTATTTGAACAACACAGGAAATAATAGTACCGTACAATAGTCTCTGTAGTTAGTCGTTCATTAGCAACTACTGTATATGGTAGGTCCTGAAATATTTTAAAAATGTTTTAGTGTAATGTAAATATATTATACAGCAATTACATCGTAAATTTATCAGCAAAAAGAAGTTGAAGCGCTTCTTAAATTCAGTCGCCATTGCCACAAAGACAGTTTGGTAACAAAGAAAGCAAAGTGATGTAACAAGAGCACGCAGTTCATGCTGGTGACCACTAAGGGGAGACTGTGTTACACAGAAAGCGTTACTCAACGGTCACGACGTTAGGGACGCTTTCACAATTGGATGCCCTCCGAGCAAGAGCCTTGTAATGTGTCGCAAGTTTAATTAATTTTTTAATTAACATTTTAAATTATTTTTGATTTGGAATTTAAAGTTATCAAGTAAAAGTATGTGTTAAGTTATTAACAACACTCTGCATCCTCCACTTGTACAGAATTACAAGTGTTGGCTAATATCGATTCAAGGGTGGAAAGTTAGCCCATCTTAAAGTCATGACAAGCAACACAACCTGTCAACGCTGACTGTTGTGTGACAGAAAAAAAAACCCTAATAAATTCAATTACACATCAACATCCCCTCACTGACAGTTTAATCTTATAGAGGTTTCCTGTACTGTTGTGTGACAGAAAAAAAAAACCCTAATAAATTCAATTACACGTCAACATCTCCCTCACTGACAGTTTAATCTTATAGAGGTTTCCTGTTATTTGTTGTCTGTGATGCAGATGGTGCGCAATGCCCAGACCTTGACTTCAACTGCTCCTGAACCCAGGATAAAGAAGTTCCAGATTTACCGCTGGGATCCGGACACTGCTGGGGACAAACCCCGTATGCAGACATATGATGTTGACCTAAACACGTAAGACATGTGACACATGGTGCTTCAGAAAAACAAAATAACAGGGGGTGCCACGAGATAGAAGTAATTGCCTTAACCACCCCCACAGTCAATTGGTACACCACGCTATGATTTTCTATATTTTTATAGACACAAAAATTGTTCACATTAATGTAAGATAGACCCTGCGATTGGCTTCGCGACCACGCGGTGTACTTTGCCTCTTGTTCAACATCAGTCAGGATAGGTCCCGCGTCACCTGTGACCCTTGAAAGTATAAGTGGTATAGCTACTGTAAATGATTGATGGATAGCAGACAGTTACATGCAACACAGACTTAGTAATTCCCCATTGGCCAATTAACATACAGCTGGCTCCGTTTTTTTAAATATATCAACCCAAAGGCAAGTCCTGTATTTGCGCAAGGAAATGGTTCCGTTGAAATAAACCCCACATTCTCACCAGTTGAGTAAACACACTAAATGAATTTGGCTGAACATTGGTGAGCGGTGTTCTCAATTTCAGGATACTGTTCCAATATAACAAAAATGCAATGCGAGTGTTTCAGGAATTTGGGTAACATTTTCCACTTGATGTTTTGTATGGTCCGATCACTTTTAGCTGCAGGACACTAGTAGCCCTGATTATAGATGCACAGGATGATTAAAATGGATGAGTGGATATGACAGTGTTTTGAATACCGGTAGCTTCTCTCTTCATACAGCTGCGGTCCGATGGTTCTGGATGCCCTCATCAAGATCAAGAATGAGATGGACCCCACGCTTACATTCAGACGTTCCTGTCGTGAGGGTGAGGGACTAATTATTGTTGTTTTCTTCACTGCAACTTAACAACATTTAAATGAATAGTACAAAACTGAGAATGCTGCTCTAATGACTGTAATGTTCATTCCAGGTATTTGTGGCTCATGTGCCATGAACATCAATGGAGGCAATACACTTGCATGCCTCAACAAAATAGACAGCAATACAAACAAAGCCACTAAAATTTACCCGCTCCCTCACATGTACGTGGTCAAAGATCTTGTGCCTGTAAGTACTGGAAGTTTGTTTAGTTGTGAGGGTTTTTTTTTATTTTTAGAGCAGAACATTTATTTGAGGTTTAATTTCTGCAAAAAATGACATTTCCTAAGTGAGTACATTTTTATGAAGTGATGATTAAAAATATAACTTCACACTCATAGGTAGCATCAGAAAATCCATGTTGGGATAATGTTTGGGATTTTAGAATAATATACCGTGTGCTAACTTCCTCCAGGACATGAGCAACTTCTATGCACAGTACAAATCCATTGAGCCCTACCTAAAAAAGAAGGATGAAACTCAGGAAGGGAAGGACCAATATTACCAGTCAGTCGAGGACAGGCAAAAACTGGTAAATATAACAACTTCTTTTCATCATCATGAAATCACATTCCACCAAATGGTACAATTCAGTTCGGCTTACCACATGCTTTTGACCTGTGAATCTGGTAAGTGGTTTTTAGATGACAGATATGTAGCTACATTCGCTGAAATTGTGTGACATCATTAGCACCACAACACGGTGTAAACTCCATAATGTGTTCAATGAATGTGACAAACTGCTGTGAATCATCTCTCTGTCCAAATTTATTTTAAATGTTTTCTGTTCCCAGTCTGTTCACATTGCACATATTCTTTGTTCACCAAGAAGATTGGAGAACATTGTCATCTTTATAAAGTTTTACTGTCCAATACCTCTCATGACCAACAAATAAATGGAATTGCAACATGTTTTACACGACAACACACCGAATCAAAATGGACCAGTAGAACCATGTCTTTACATCTCAAAAAAGCATGGAATGCAAATCATGTAGATCAAAAAATAGTGAAAAATATGGCGGTCAAAGTAAGACTGGTGAACCCAGAGGTGCGCAAATGCAGTTTTTGACTCACCCCAGGTGCTGTCAACCCACACTGCACCATTAGCATGATGTTCTACTGCTTCATATTACAACCAAACCATTTTTACCAACAAAGTGTACTTTGTAAAATGTTGTGTTCAACCCAACAGGATGGCTTGTACGAGTGCATCCTGTGTGCATGCTGCAGCACCAGTTGTCCTAGCTATTGGTGGAATGGGGACAAATACTTAGGACCCGCTGTTCTCATGCAGGTATTGTAAATCCAATTCAGGATACTGTATGTTCTCTCAAGGAATGTTCTCATCTGAGTTCACGCAATAGGATACACGGCGTTATTTGTCTTTTTAAATGTAATAGTTAAGAGGTATTTTAATATCATGTCTGGAACAGCTTTTTCAAAACAGACTCAAGAGCAAGATTTACAACAAACTTATGTCACTGACATTACACCAGTTCGAGGGACCGCCCCATGTTATGCAAGTTACATTAGTTGTTATTATTAATATTATTAGCAGTAGTAGCAGTATTGCTATACAAGTAGTGTATGTAAGGTCAATGGAAAATGAAACCCTAATGGGGAAGGGAGGACAGACCAACTTGTGAAGAATTATTCTGAATGCACATTATATAATAATTGGTGAACTTTATGCTGTCACACAGGCCTACCGGTGGATGATAGACTCTCGCGATGACTTTACTGAGGAGCGGCTGTCTAAACTTCAGGACCCCTTCTCTCTCTACCGCTGCCACACTATCATGAATTGCACCAAGTCCTGCCCCAAGGTAGTTTGAGAATCATAAATATTCTCTCTTTCCCAGATTTAAAAGGAGTTCTGCGATCTCATGGGCTCTGCTTTCCACAGGGACTCAACCCAGCGAAGGCCATCGCTGAGATCAAGAAAATGATGGCAATTTACCAAGAAAAGAAAGCGGTTGCATCATGAACAGACACGAGTTAAGACCGTTCAGAGCCACTAATACTACTTCCTCAATTTCAGCTGAGTGGAGAGAAGATCTAACAAGGAACGTTGGCAATTTTTGCAGATGTGGGCAGTTACGGTGCTGACCATGCTACAAAACGGTCAACATATTTATTTTCACTTTACGAGTCGCAATTAAAAAACTTTTTTTAAACAATCCAGAACCTGAAGACGTTTGAGGTTGTTACAGTCAAATGCTTTAAAGTGTGTTGTTTAGCCAAAAAAATGGCTAAGGTCATCGTAGAAGTTAGCATATCTTGCTGGTCACCTCTATCTTATTTTCTCAATTGCAATACATGAAATACATGAGCTGTCTCATGTCAGAGGTAAAAATCTGAGCATAACCATCTAATATGTGATTGTTCTGCTTGGACTATAAATGTATTTTCCAGTTGTAGCAATTTCATCTGTGCATTTGTATTAACGTGTGATTGTCAATGAATAATGGGGCAGTAAAAACATATGAGTGCAATGTAATGAAAATGTATATAAACTGTAAATAATGGCACATGTACTCATTAAAATATGTTTAATTTATAATGAAATCCGAATTGTATTATGAAATACTTGCCAACATATCTTTATTTGTGCCAGAGCTTCTATTGTATGGTGCAGTGCTGCACTGTAGACTTCGGAACCTGCCCAACTGGTTTTACGCAACCAAAAGCACATCTAATGTTTCCTGACTTTGTGAGCCTTTTATCGCACAATATAGGACCATGTCAGGTCCTTCAAAATGCATTCGCACCTCAAAGTAACGTAAGGGTTAATTTGAAACAGCATTTAAAAAACGCGTGAAAATAAATTTGGACATTGTCGCGTATTGTAGACGCATGTTTATAAATGACGTGTTATCTGGTTTGTTTTGGGCGGGCAATATGGCATAAATAAAAGTGAACCACTCATTATAGAGCCGGTGACTCGTCAGGAGCAGACGTAAGTACAATTTAAATTACTCGTCCTCCCGTTTCTAAAAGGTTTAGAGATTAAGTCATACGGCAACACGAGCACAACCCAAAAGAGGCTAAATGCTACAGCTAGCACCTTAGTGGCGAATACTGTACTTAAAACACGAGGAGCTAAATGACCTGGGTCGACCGTAGTGTATGTGGAGTATTGAAACAAAGCTGATTTGCGCATTCAATGTGTTCATAATTCTACAGGAATATTGAAACAAAGCTGATAGGATTTGCGCATTCAATGTGTTCATAATTCTACAGGACTGTATGATCAAGTGAAAGTCCATTTTCCAACAGCCTGGGTGTTTACATTTCACAGAAAAACAAAAACAAAACTAAAATGCTGTTGTCCGAAAGGTGTAAGGCAAAAAAGAGTGCTTGTGTGCGTGTTATGATTATATATTTTTGTTTTAGTGTACACTGCAGCCGAAGCATCCGATACAAAAACAAAACTAAAATGCTGTTGTTCGAAAGGTGTAAGGCAAAAAAGAGTCCCTGTGTGCGTGTTATGATTATATATTTTGTTTTAGTGTACACTGCAGCCGAAGCATCCGATCAGTTTCACTTTCACAACAAACGTATACAAATACAATTTTTAAAAAGTAGGTCACTTTTACGGTGGCGCACTACCTGCATCACAGGAAATTGTTAGTGGTCAGTAGTCTGCAATTACAGCTAATAATCAGAGCCCTAAAAAGATAAATATTTTTGTTTATTTAATTAAGTTTTTTTGCTCTGCAATGCATCAATGACATTGTCAAAGAAAGGCAATCTGTGGAATTAAATGCGCCTGACATACAATTCTAAAAACAAACAAAATCAATTTAAAACAGGAACTGTAACAAGCAAAACATAAATGCTCATAATTGATGGACAAAAACATTTGTAAAATCGTTGCATCAAATTCGTTAGTTCGTGTACCGATGAACTTGCATCTTTTAAATGAAGATTGAGTTTCCAACACTTATGACATGGTAAAAAAACATTGTGGGACAATATATGGTTTTGTTATCAGTAGTATGAGTGATAATAAGTTCATGTGGGCCTCTTTTGATATGTGTATGACATTTTATTGCAGTTTTTAGAACAGACAAATCGGCTTGGTCATTTGTAGGCAATATTTTAAAAAATAAATTACATTTGGCTGTTTAAATTGAGGTTGTAGTCGATCCCAAATGGCTCTAGGTGAGAGGCAAGATACACCCTGGACTGGTCGCCATTTGTCAACATGTCCCTTGCATTTGGCTGGTCACCATTGCAGTGTGTTCCCTGATTCTCGCCGAGTCAGCTGGGATAGATTCTAGTTCACCTGCAACCCTAAAAAAGGGGAATGGATGGATAGTTAAACAACCAATCATTTATAAATTAAAATAGTTTAAATGTACAAATGCTTTTCTTTATTTACTCATTTCAAAATGTTATTTTTAGCAAATAAAGCAAGCAACTATTTTTTAAATTTGTTAAATGAATAAAAAAAAACAACAACAAAATACAGGTATAAGCGTTTTGAAAAACTAAAATATAGCATGGGATATGATAAGGTATTCTTCTAATCAATCAACATTGCGAAAGGCTATGACACTAATTAAAAACTTAAAACCATTTTAGTGTTAATACCGTTAAAGAAATTTGTGACGTTCCAGACAAGTGCTATTTAGGACAAAACAACCATGTGATCGCATTGCATCAAGCTTGGCTGGCTTTCACATGATTTCAAGCCAGTCATGCGGTACGACTGATTCCTGTAACAAATATTTTGCCACCATTACAAGAGTAGGATGTCCGTTTGTTTGTTTGTTTGATTTTTTTTTTTGTTTGTTTGTTTGTTTGTTCTGTCTTTGGTCCGATTTCAGACCTATCACATACTGATATGCAGTGTCTCAGGACTCCCCCAGGGGACAGGAAGTGCCTCAGAACTGCTATTTTGAGGAGGCATTTGACAAACAGCCACATACTGAACTGAAACTAACTATACTGCTTAAAGGGGCCACATTATGGAAAATTGACTTTTTAATTGCTTTAATACAAATCTGTGGTTGTCGCTGGAGTGCCAGCCGGCCCATCACTTGTGATGATACTAAAATCTGCCCTTGGGCTTTATTTAACACACACCTGAGCTTGTATTTGTTGAAGTTTCTTCATAATAGTTTGTTTCACTCTCCCTGTAGACTTTAAAAATTATTCTTGAGACGTCTGCAGTGTGTGCCCCACCTTTCGTCCACAATCAGGTGGGAGGGGCTCCACTTCACCTTTGAGAAAATGGAAGGATGGCTGGATGTCGACTGCTCTTTATGACATTAGAGGTGTTCACATTTTGATGCTCAACTCTATATGTGTTTATGTCAGGGGTGCCCAAACCTTTTTGACCGAATATCTACTTTTCGATCAACCAACCTCCCGTGATCGACCCGTTACCGCGCACGAGCGCATACGCACACACGTACACACGCATGCCATGATGTGGCACACAATGCACTTTTGCAACCTGTTAACGATCGTAGCCCACGCGTACCGTTTTAAAATGCTTCTCTTGGCCCTCCAGATTCCAATTCTTTGCCCGTCCCCTCGGCGAATTGTACAAAACAAACTCTGAATGAGAATAATAATCACGATAAAAGATATAGCGCAACAACTCTGATCACAAGCTGCAACTGCAGACTGCTGAGCCCTAGCAACTTCCGGTGACGCAGTCACACGTCACCGTAGATTAAAGATGACCTGCTTTATTTTATTTTATTTTTAAAATACTTTTTGTGAAAGTGAGACTGACAGAATGATTAGGGTGCAGTGTGCATTAACACAAAAAATATATTAATAACATGCACAGAGACACAAATTTATGTATTTATTTTTTTCCTCTCCACCTCGGATCGACTCGGGACCAGTCCTTGATCTACTGGTCGACCGCGATCGACGTAATGGGCACCCCTGGTTTATGTCATATGCTTACATAACTGCCCGTTGACGCTAATGTAGTAGCATTGCATATTTTTAAAAGGAATGCGTGTTTGAGCAACAACGCATAACCTGAAACCCATGATGGATTTCTTCTAAGCATCCCAACAGATCCAAATTTCAGTCTCTGATGTGGTCACCAAAACACAAATGGCCATTGGAATGCAGGTGGGATGTTTTGTTAATCATAAATAGAAACAGAATACAATGATTTGCGAATCCTTGAATTGAATACACTGCAGAGAAAAGATATTTAATGTTCAAACTGATAAACTTTATTGTTTTTGGAACATAATAATTAACTTTGAATTTTATGACTGCTAGGTACAATCAAGTTTGTCAGTTTGAACATGAAGTATCTTGTCTTGGTAGTGTCTTCAATTAAATATAGGTTGAACATAAGTTACAAAGCATTGTATTCTATTTTTTGTTATGTTTTAACACCACATTCCAACTTCATTGGATTTGGGTTGGTAGGTCCACCTGTTTCTGTGTGTTTGCATTTAGATGGACGGCTCACTTTCCTTTTCCTCACTTGTCACCTGGTGAATCAGTGCACCCGTTGCCGTATCACAATCCTGTTGTTTCAATTGTCCTAATCGCTGCCATATTTGTTTTAAAAGCAAAAATCTGCAAGTTTAATTAACACTGCTGCAATGCCGTGTCTTGTGAATGTTGACTTTGAGGGTGTGCATGTTTAGGGACTCGGTTCTCGCAAATGTTGACTAAGCGAGAGACCTGTTTTGTGACATTGATATGCGAACTGCCTCTTAGGAATTAAGCTGCCGGGTGGATTTCCTGTCGCTGGCCTGCATGACTGGCCCTGCTTGTGCCTGACAAACCCATGGTAAGAACCACTTGCCGTGTCAGGAGAGGAAGATGATTTGAGTTCACAGTGTGCTACAAATGGCAAAACAAATTGGAAACAGTGTATTGTACTTCTGATTTCAAATCATCAGACAACTAAATTGAGATTACGTAGAGGTGGAAGCACTCAGAGGGGTAAAGTGGGGTAAGAAAAGACAAATCAATCTTAAAAGGATCTCCAAAATCCACAGGGAGCCATTGAAGGGAGGCCAAAATTGAGTTACGCTATGTGTTCCCTCCCACGAGTTCCAGTTAGGAGGCGAACAGCTGCATTTTGGACCAACTGGAGACGCTTGAGGCTGACCCAAAAAAATAAAAAGTGCATTGCAGTAATCCAGCTGAGATACAGTGTATCAAAGGCATGGAATTCAGTTTTCAAAGGGATGTTGTGGACTAAGAGGCTCTTCTTTAGCCAGCTGGCCGAGACCGATCTTGATGTGATATGTTCAGCAGGAATGATACTTTTTTTTTTTTTAATAAGTATGAAATGTTAGAAGAGAATTGATCAAGTGATAAAATTCAAACAAAGAAACACGAGAATCTACTGTGCTT